AAAAGCACTGGGTTGGGGTAAAGCTATCCAATGAATTTGTGGCTGAATTGAGGTTTGAACAGGAAAGTTATAGTCTAGAATGTCTGGAGGGTACCAAATGTTAAGGAAGGTGGGTAGTAGGTAAAAAAGGTAAAGGTAAAGGGGCCCTGGATGGTTAAGTCCAGTCAAAGGCTACTATGCGGTGTGGTGCTCATCTCGCTTCAGGCCGAGGAATCCGGCATTTTTCCACAGACAGCTTTCCGGGTCATGTGGCCAGCATGACTAAATCGCTACTGGCACAACGGGATACCGTGACAGAAGCCAGAGCGTACGGAAACACCATTTACCTTCCTGCCACAGCAGTACCTATTTATCTACTTGCACTGGCGTGCTTTCAAACTGTTAGGTTGGCAGAAGCTGGGACTGAGCAATGGGAGCTCACTCTGTCGCAGGGATTTGAACTGCCGACCTTCCAATCGGCAAGCCGAAAATGCTCCACAGTTTAGACCACAGCTCCACCTGTGTCCAACTATCCTATACCAGGGTGCTATCCTATACCAGGTCTTATATAATCCACCCAGTGTAAACAGAGTCTGGACCATCAGCATTGGAGATTAAAATGAGCAGGCAAGGCACTCTTCATAATCACAAGATTTTATTGCAAAGAACTGGTGAAACAGCCTCTCATTGAAATGAGTGGCAAAACTCTCAGTTGAAAGGTGTATTTTCTAGTGATTTTCTTCCAAGACCTAATAGTTTAACAAATATGATTCTCCCTGAACACCTCCCTTAGGATGATTGCAGACTTAATTGAGGAATATCTTTTCATGATGACATAACTTTGTCCTGCAGAAACAAACAAAATAAACCATGAATTAACCCAATTTAAAACGATGAATGGCTCAACTTCCATAGGCTACTCTTTGATGCCTTAGTTTTAGACACTGAAATATGACACTTGGGAACAATGATCAGAGTAAAACTACAGAAATATCACTTTAGTTCTAAACTAAAGGAACTAGCCAGGTGGTGTATAAATTTAGAGCAAGCTAGTGAGGTACCTGATCCATGAGCTACAGGGAGACCCCCCTGGCAAAGCAGCAAGGCAAGTTAAGCAGATGTGTGTGAAAAGAGAGAAGAGGCCAGGTCATGTCATTCTGCCCCTCCCTTCATTGACTTACAGAAAACCCAAGCTCTAAATAAAGCAACTTAAACTACAAAAACAACTAGGCAATTAGAATGCCAGTAGGGGCATAAAGGCTTTCCAGTATTTTGCATTGATAGCTCCCCTGCTATCAGGGAGAATGAGAGTCTCGGAGAAGGAGAACATTGCTTTCAAGAAGAGGGAAACTTCCCTTGCACCTGTCTTCACAACGGAAGATATAGGGCAGATCCCAGTACCTGAAATAACTTTTGCAAGAAAGTTAGTCTTAGGAACTGAGGAAGGTGGTGGTGACAAGAGATAAAGTTTTAAGCCTAATAAACAAAATGAAAACTGACAAATTGCCGAGTCCAGATGGCATCCACCCGAAAGTTCTCAAATAACTCAAGTGGGAATTTGCTGATCTTCTAACAAAAATATATATACCATAATTTGTCCCTCAGTGAGGCAAACAGGGGCACTCTGCAACCACTATTCTCCTTCCCAGATAAGGATGTTATGCTATTCTTGACTGAATGCTAAACATACAGAATCAAACTTTCTAATACATTTTGGTTCAGAATGTCATGCAATTTTGAAATTCCTTTGCAAGGATGCCTTATGAATAAAAGATGTCTGGAGTGTGAAATCATTCCCTCATCTTTTTTGCGTTGAAGCTATGATGTGAATGTCTTCTAGCACTTTTAATTTCTGAGGCCAGCGAGTGTCTACTCCTTCCATGACTGTAAATGAAAAAGTAAAGACTTTTTATGGCTTTTAGAGAAGACCAACTGTAACACACAGAAGACCATTGCTTGATCCTTTCTATGAAACCATCTTCTTCACCGCCTTTCTCCCCATCCCCAGTCACCAGATAGGATAACGATCGTCTCACTTCTGTTTCCAAGTTTGATGCTCCTGTCTTCCAACTTACTTTCTCCAGATTATCCAAAGGGTTCAAGGATCTTCAGCATGGCAAGGGAACTTGTATTCAGCAATCCCAATTTCATCTGTAGCAGAGAAAGTAATAGGAATTTGATTATTTGACCATCCCATGTGCTTTATGGCAAATTAATTCTACCACACACAGACCTGATGCCTTCTAATGTTATTTTTTTTCAATTTAAAAAATGAAAATAAAATCTTGAGAGGATTATTATTATTATTTCTTAATATTATTTTTAGTTGCTTTATCTTGCCCAAGGCAACCCAGGGGAAGGGGGGGGGGAGATTTGGAATCCAAAGGCTGTGTAACCATCTTTTGAATCTTTTTATATCGTTTATTTTCTATTTCTTTATATAACTTACGTATGTCATTTTATTTTGATTGGACGTGTTTAAAAAAGGGAATTCGTGGAAGGAACCGGGGTGGATCTTGGGGAAAATCTTTTTTCTTTTCTTGTTAATAATGTGGGACGGTGGTAAGATTTGTACAATTCAATTTGGATAGTGGGTTAAACAAATTAAGTTTCAAACTGGGAGTGAGAGCTTGTAGAACCAAATTAATGAAAGGGGAATACAGTTGGGAGGGGGAGGGGGGGAGTCCCAGAAAGTAGGCAATGAAAGTAAGGTTTTAAGTATCTTTTCTTCTTTTTCTTTTTTCTTTGTATTTCTATATTTCTGGAAACTTTAATAAATATGATTTTAAAAATATATATATATCTTGCCCAGGGCAACCCAAAGTGACTTACAACCAAACATCAAAGAAGCAAAACTCCTATATAAATACATTAAAAACATCCCACCCACTTCTAAAAGGCCACAGATAGTTAAAGGTCCAAGGCCTAGGTATAGAATAAAGTTTTCTCTCAGTTTACAACTCCCGTCAGCCCCAGCCAGAATGGTCACTGGTTGGGGATGAAGGCAGTTGGCAGTCGAAAAAAATCTAGATTTCATCAGATGAGGGAAGGCTGTTCTATGGCATATTAGTTTTCTTTACCTGTTTCATAGTAGTCATACACGAACACTGAGGCTGGTTTGATATTTGAAACTGGAAGGTCTTGGGCAACTAGGAAGCTGAAACTGATTCCCTTGGATGAGAGCTGGGAATAAAAGCACAATGGGAATCGTTAGTCTTGTAGGCAGTTAATACTCCACAAAACAAGAGGCAGATCTGAGCAGAACATACGTAGTCCAGGTAGATGATGACATGGTTTTCTTTGCTTTCCACCTTCATCACAATTCTGTCATCACGAAGCTGTGAACAAGGAAGCACAGGAAAGATGACAACCTTCACTGGCCATCTGAAGACACACTAGATGGAGTATGGAATGACTTCTAACGTATCATGAGGAGAACACGCACACAAAAGGGAAACATGGGACGAATCAGATACAGATGTAAGAAATCCATAAATTTTGCTGGAATAATATTGATGCATGCATCCATCATGAAACAATAAAATATATGTATTATAGATCATCTTTATGAAAAGGAAAGAGAACAAGTGGAGTCTGTTACATTTTAGAATGTTGAAAAGCCACATTGTATGTTTGAAGAAGCCAGTGCTCTGCAGTCAATGACCAGGATGCAGTTAGTTGTAGGATTATTCCCCTTAGCCTGTTTCCTTTGAATGTAACAGTCATCAAAGATACATATTGTGGTTATGGGCGACCTTCACCGCTTCCTTCCCAGAGCAGTTCTGGTGGTAAAATCTGTTGCAATGCTGTGTATGGAGGTGGGCACAGGTAGATGGGGCATGGACGTACCCTCCAACATTTCTCTTATGCAAATAGAGACGTCCCATTCTATAATGATAATTTTACTATTTATACCCCACACATCTTATTGGGTTGCCCTAGCACTCTGAGCAGCTTCCAACATATATAAAAACATAATAAAACATTAAACATTTTTAAAACTTCCCTATATAGGATTGCCTTCAGACGGCTTGGGGGTTGGATAACTCCATACCCTCCAACATTTCTCCAATGAAAATAGAGACATCCTAAGGAAAAACAGGACATTCCGGGATCAAATCAGAAACCAGAACAGCTTCTCTGAGTTAGGGATGTCTCTGGAAAATAGGGACACTTGGAGGGTCTACATAGAGGAAAGTCAGCCATTCCCCCTTTTACTTCATTGGAAGCAACTCAAGGTCACACTGCTCCACACCCCAGTATTCAGCACTAAAAACTGACATTTTTTGCAGGGACAGGGTACAGCTGACCAGTGTGGGCATGGACCTTTGGCTGTCTGACACACAGGCCACATTATCTGATTGGTAGTCATAGCCAGGTTGGTGGGAGCCAGTAGGCGAAGCCTCCCGTCTCTTGTGGCAGGTGATGCATTCGCAAATTTAAATGCCCCACAATCCTATCCCCCAAAGCCATTCCACTTTTTACATTTACCTTTTGCAGGGATGCCTGGTCAGGTACCATGCCTGTAAGCATCTTCACATCAATGATGGCCATGTTGGAACTATTGCGCTTCCCGGTGTATCTGAAAGGAAAGGAAGACTGGGTCAATCTGAATCCCTAGACCAAAGCCATCTTGGGATACAGTGTGCAATATATATATTTAATTGTTTAGCGGTAAAATGCATCAGGAGGATAAGAGGGAAAATGCTGTTGCTTACAAATTGTGTGTTTGTACTCTGTCTATGCCTTGGAGCTCCTTTACCATCTCAGAGCAGTAATTTCAGATTCAAATACTGTCATTCCGTGCCTACTTGGCTAGTAATGACTCCAGTACATCTAGGAAATGCAATCTCCAGTACTGTGGCAGCAGCTGCCCATTGGGGACCGGGGTGCGGTTTGTGGGAAGCTAGATAGCTAACATACGACAGAGGGACCTGCTGTCTATACATCTGATGTTGGGATGAATTCCTAGGGGTACTAAAACATTGTCATAATTGCTAATTACACACATGTTGGAAATCTCAGGTGAGATACCCACACAGTGGAAGTTGTTCCCTGTACCAGTCACTGTTGCAGAAGATAAGGCTCAGTAAAACAGTTATGGACGTAGAGATATACAACTTGTAGATACAGATATATACAGATACATACAAGTACAAAGTACCTCCTTTGCTCTAAATAATTTCAGCAATTCAGGACGTAACACTGGACAACTCTACTAACAGACTCTGCAAGTAAGCCATCATGCATTAATTCACAGATATAGTTGGGGCACTGGGCCGTTACCATAGCAACTGGCCTGTCTGATCTTGCACTTGTGATTAGCTCATCCATGGGGTGATTATGCTCATGAAGTGAAGCATCATCCGTGGGGTGATTATGCTCATGAAGGAAATTAACCCCTTCTCATGTCCAGTTACTCCAGCAATACACTCATATTGTCCATATCCATCCGTATTCATAGTCCCTGTAATTATCCCTTCTGCATTCATACCCAGAAATACCTGTTATCAATGGAGCTTAGGCCTAAATGTACAGGACTGCAACCTTCGCCAGCTTATTGTTTACATGCCAGACTACTGAACTGAAACCCATTTTAAAAGGTTGGCAATAGAAGCACATATAGGAAGGTACGCAGCCGCAGGACTATTCTGCTCTGTCTCTCTGGAACTGTCGTTTTAAGTTACACCTCTTTTTCTTTCCCTTCCACACACATACAATCTATGCATACGAGGTTGATAAAAAGGTACCTGGCTGTGATGACAATGGCAAACTTTGCCTGGAAGGTGTCTCCACAAGAGACGTTTGCCGTCTGCACAGAGAGGAAAAACCCAGAAGACTTTTTGGGAAGAAGGACGTTGTATCTCATAACTGCCTAGAAAACATGGAATAAAAAACAGGGGAGTGAAAAAATAAACTCAAGGCAATGTGGCCTTCACAATGTGTGTGAAAGGCATAATCTTGAAGACAGTCACTAGCTTATTTAGAGTCTTAAATGATAGTAAATGAGAGAGATATTGTTGCCTGTGGTGGTCATGTGTATCTTGTTATCACCTATGTCCACATATTTTGCAGATTCTTTTAGTTCCTAGAAGTATTGCTTGGTTCCTGCCAACCACCACCTATCCTTTCATACAAAGCCAAATTAGCTTTGCAAGCAGAATTTGTGTCCACAGAGACATTCTGTTTTATTTTGAATCTTTAAGATAAGTTTCCTGTTAATTATGTTGCTTTGAAAGTATACGTTATATCTGACTTTCTTCAGTAACATTCTGTTCTGGATCGTTCAATGTGTCGTAATCCGCTTTGAGGTTTCTCTCTTAAAAACATAAAGCGGTAAAGAAATTAAATTAGTCATAATGACTTGCCTGCTTAGCTCAGTCGCTATGAGACTCTTAATCTCAGGGTTGTGGGTTAGGCAAAAGATCCCTGCATTGCAGGGGGTTGGACTAGATTACCCTTGTGCTCATTTCCAACTCTACAATTCTATGAATAACAACAACAACATCATCATAATCAACAGATTTGTGGGGTAGGCCAGTGAAGCAGGGGCCCCAGTCCACATATAGTGTACCGGGCTCAGGAAATCCTGCTGCCATCCCTTGCTAGTGCCATAAGGAATAATGTGCACATAGCAAAAGATGGCCTTTGAAATCCTTTTCATCTTCGCAAGTGTGCAAGGTGCGCAGGGCCATTTTACCCATAGAAGAAGAAGAAGAAGAAGAAGAAGAAGAAGAAGAGTAGTTTGGATTTGATATCCTGCTTTATCATTACCCTAAGGAGTCTCAAAGCGGCTAACAATCTCCTTTCCCTTCCTCCCCCACAACAAACACTCTGTGAGGTGAGTGAGGCTGAGAGACTTCAGAGAAGTGTGACTAGCCCAAGGCCACCCAGCAGCTGTATGTGGAGGAGCGGAGACGCGAACCCAGTTCACCAGATTACGAGTCCACCACTCTTAACCACTACACCACACTGGCTCTTAATAGGCGCTAGGGGTGTGGGGCACCCGGGCGCTGGGCTCTCAGGGGTGCCAGGCTGAGAGTCCGGGGCCCGAGAGTTGAGTCTGGGGAAGAGCCCACCCATCGGTTGGGCAGGCTCTTTTGCTGCATGTGGCTCTGCGCCTTGAGTTTGGGGGCGACTGAGCCAGCAAGACGCTGAGGCAGCCGGCTGGCTCCGTCCTCCTGCGCACCTGGGACTGGGCAACCTGGGGGGAGGGGGAGGGACGGGGATGCCGGTCGGATCTTTGCACCCCGGCACTGCATATGCACTGCATATGCTTAAGACAGCCCTGAAGGTGTATCAACAATTACCTGTGTAAAGACACACCCAGTGCCATTCACTTCCACCGTATACTCTCCTGGAACGTCAGGCAGGGAAGTCCGCTGCAGCAATAGGCGATTGTCATTGTTCACTTCAAAGACTCTCTCAAAAGGCTTGTTGGAATGGATCCTGACTGAGTTCTGGCTAGTGAAAGTATATTGGCTGAACAGAGCCAAAGCTTGTATAGCCACTACTGTGTCCTGCAAGAGAATAGTGGCAACGAAAGGATGCTTAAAGCTTTGTTCAAATGCTATGTAGGAAAGGTTTATAAATTTCTCTTAAAGGCCAGAGTGGTTCCTTTATTATCTTTTAATATCTTTAAATTGAAATTTTCAACACTGGCAACTAAAAGCATGCCCTCCCTCCACCCCAGGATACAGCACAATACAAAAAGCAATCTACATATCTCTTTCTTCTTTTCCTGATTATGGATGCATAAACAAAAAAGGATATTACTGTATCTGGTCTAGGATCAACAAAAAAATCCCGTAGACTCTTGTTTTGTTCTCCACTCATGTATGCAATAAAACAGCATTGTTCCATGGAAAATTGCGTCTTTGCACCATTTCCCAGTTTCCTCCTCTTCTAAGGTGGAGGCCTTAATTCCACAAACTTAATGTGCATTTTTTCTGAGGTCCTTCAGTATTCTATTTAAGCTAGTTAGTGATTTAAATAGCAAAAACTGAAGAATGACCTATGCTCACTAAAACAAAAACAAAAAACCAGCACACAGAAGTTTTCATACTTGTTCCCCAGAACCACCTGTTTAAAATGATCTCATGTAGCAGGTGATATGGAAGACCCTTGTCTCCCTGAAGCCAGGAGCAATTTCCCCAGTTAAAGAAGACAATACAAACAACTCGTACATCCATTTTAAAATACAAATTTGCATAATCTCAAAAAGCTTCTCTTGGTGAATAATTTGTTTTTATTCCCCATATTTGCACCCTCCCTTTCCCTCAAGGTACTCAGAGGAGCATAAATGGGAGGTATCATATTTTAATTTTTCTTTTCATTTCACTTTTAATTTGCATACTGCATATATATATCTCCACTATGACCTGTCAATCTTGGATGGCCCTGCATGGCATAGCTCATAACTCCTCTGAGTTATTCATTCATATATATATATATATATATATATATATATATATATATATATGAATGATTTTATTGTCAAGTATACAGAGCCCTGGCTGTAGCCCATGTGATGGAGGACAAAGCACAAGAGTTACTGTACCTGGGTGCTGCTGAAGCCTCCATAAGGATTCTGCTGCTTGGTAAGCCAAAGGACAATCTGCGAAGCTGTTGTCAGTTGTGCTGGAGTTGGTGTGGTTCTGGTGAGCAGTGCAAGGAGCACATAGGCAGCTATCTCGACCTCAAATGATGAGGCACGAGGGTAGAAGGAAGGAGACTCTTCTGCAGGTGGCTTATCCTCACGCTCCCAATATAACGAGCCACCTAAGAATTGAAAGAGAAGCTAAGAAAACAGTCCAGAGGCAGGTCAAACCAATATTTCCTTGCAGGAATCTGATGCTCTTCCTCCAGATCCAGGGGGGAAATATCACAGAAGCAGAGATCTGCCTCATTAACCCCTGTACAGAGACCACCAGACTTTATTCAGCTTCGGTTTCTAGTCTCATCACTTCTTTCTCTCTCTCTCTCTCCACCCCCCACCCGCCCAATATACAGTTACACAAGTTAATCTTAAGCATATATTGAGCGGCCCAAACATTTTGTTGCTGCTGTTTTTAACAGCGTGGAATGGTGGAATGGAGAGAAATGTTCACTATGTGCTTCGCAATTGAAGTAGCGTTGTTATATGATCTCTTGATGTGTTGTTTTCTTCCTTAAGGAAATGCAACAGTGGAATGGGGGGCAGGTTGGTTAAATTCCCGCATTTTTCGCTCTATAAGATGCACCAGACCACAAGACACACCTAGTTTTTGGAGGAGGAAAACAAGAAAAAAATATTCTGAATCCCAGAAGCCAGAACAGCAAGAGGGATCGCTGCGCAGCAAAAGCAGCAATCCCTCTTGCTGTTCTGGCTTCTGGGATAGCTGCGCAGCCTGCACTCGCTCCATAAGACGCACACACATTTCCCCTTACTTTTTAGGAGGGAAAAAGTGAGTCTTATAGAGCAAAAAATACGGTAACTATGGCAGCAATATTCAGGGTGAATGCCCCCCCATAAACCCCCTCTCTGGTTATGGAGGTTCTTGGAATTGATGTATATATATCCTTCTTTAGCTATATGTTCGGCAAGTTAAAGCTTTTGAATATTTTAACAAGTATTTGGATGTTGTTTTAATTTCAAGAAAAGAGTCAGTATTGCACATGATGTTGCCTTCCTAGCTGCAATTTACTGATAGCAGTTTTTTCCCTTTCCATTTCACTTTCCAAAGAAGCCCATGAGGCAAGTTAGCCGTGGAGACGGTGCCTGACTCATTGGCAGCAAGTGAGCTTCATGGCTGAGCGGGGATCTCAAATCCCTTTTGTTCAGAAATGAAGGGGGTGGAATGCTGTAGCTGTTATGAGGTATTAATAAATAACACCTGCAAATGAACACACTGTTTGCTTTTTAACTATTTAAATCTTGAATTTATCCAAACGTGAGCATCTGAGCAGAACTGCTGTAAATCTTAAGACACTTTTGACCCCATCCATCTGAAATGCCACTTCTGGTCACTCAACGAATGCAGTATTGTCTACCTAAAAGCTCTATAAAAGAGTTACAGTAGCATAGGCTCGTTTACAAGTTACAACTCATGAAACCTGAGTTCTTTGCATGGTTTGGGGTTGGCAGTAGAGGTCAGCAGAGCTCTCATGCCTATATCAACTATGTGGCAGGCAGTTATTCAACTGAGTAAGCCTTTCATAGTATGGGACTACAATTCTGGGGATTGCTTCACCTGTTGATATCCTGTTTGCTGGACAGCTTATTATTTGTGACTCCTGATTCGTTTTTGTGTGCTCTACCCCTGCCTGAAAAAAAGGGTACAAATTTGCATGTGACAAAGTGTATGCAGGTTTTATGCAAATTTGGGTCTTATTTGGTGAGTGTAATGGAGGGTCCAGCCTATGTGCAAAGAAAATAAATAAATAAATAAATATTAACAATACTAATAATAAATTTATTACTTATATCCCGCCCATCTGGCCGAGCCTCCCCAGCCACTCTGGGCAGCTCCCAACAGAATATTAAAAACAGGGCTGCCTTCAGATGCTTTCTAAAAGTCAGGTAGTTGTTTATTTCCTTGGCATCTGATGGGAGGGCGTTCCACAGGGTGGGTGCCACTACTGAGAAGGCCCTCAGCCTAGTTGGCACTCCTGAATGTCCACAACATTATATAATTTTGCTCACATGACTGCTCATTCTTGTTTCAACACGTCATTCATTCTGCCAAACGTGTCCACATTTTGGGAAATGCGACTCACCTACTTTCGTAGCCGATTTAATCAGCTCATCCAATAAGAGATCCGCTTTGGGCTTATTACCAGCTTGGCGAAAGGCGTAAGCAAGAAGTGCTTGGTCATAGACAGTGAGATTTCCCTTTTCTAATCCGGCCTCCAAGCAATACAGGGCATTTCGGACCACTGGATGCTGGGTTGGAGGGAGAGAAAGGCTCTGTCAGAGTTTGCAGATGCCACAAAAAACATCAAACAGGTTAAAAACATCAAGCAAACATCCTATGCTGTTCTTCCAGGCACACTGCATCCGATCTAGACATTCAGAACAGAAACATGGACAATAGTCCATGTATGGCCTCCTTTCTCCACCATTTCTATATGCCTAAACTATTTCTTCTCAGTCTACTATTACATGCACTTTCTTCGATCCTGAACTAAATTAACTGGACAACACCAGAAAATAAATACCGAGCTGAGGAATCCAGACTCAAGGAGAGCTGCAGTGATGTAGGCCGACAGCATAAGCTCATCTTCTACTCCTCCCTTGAAATGCACAACACAGAAAGAGAGAACAAGTTTAAAAAATGAAGAAGGAAGGAAGGGGACAACATGGAGGCAAATAGCAGGTTTGGTGAGGTTCCCAAAAGCCTCTTGGAACATGAAGGCATTTTCCTGCTGTTGAAAGGCCCATTACATTTGTTATTAAAATCACATTGGTTCCCCGCTGTTAAGTTGTGGGTGAACATATCAGACGACACAGCGATTCTTCAAACAGCTCTTGTTTATTCACAGGCTAGAACAGAACTGAACTGAAGGGTTCAGCCAGCCTGCTTATATAGAGCTCCACTAGAACGCAACAGTAACCATTTTCTGTAACAGATAGGTAGCCGTGTTGGTCTGCCATAGTCAAAATAATAAAAAATCCTTCCAGTAGCACCTTAAAGACCAACTACGTTAGTTCTTGGTATGAGCTTTCGTGTGCATGCACACTTCTTCAGATACAGAAGAAGTGTATCTGAAGAAGTGTGCATGCACACGAAAGCTCATACCAAGAACTAACTTAGTTGGTCTTTAAGGTGCTACTGGAAGGAATTTTTTCATTTTCTGTAACTATCCAATCACTGAACATCACTTTCGATCCCTTATTTGCATATGTGGACCTGAACTATCTACTGTATCCCCCTGCTGGCCCAGGGTGAGAACTTCAGTACATAACACCCACTTTTTATCCGAGTGTCTCAAGGTGGCATACCTAGTAGTTATCCCATTCTATCCCCATAATAGTCCTGTGATGTACAGCAGGCTGAGAGGTTTAGGCTGTGATTCAGAGGTGACGGCAGGAAACTTCATGGCTCACTTAAATCTAGGTCATGTATAATACTAACAAGAAGTCTCTTGCTTCCCCAGCTCTCTCTCTTTCTCCTTCTCCCAGCCGATATCCAAATAATACAGGTACTTAAGATAGGTAAGGGTCAGAAATCTCAGGGAGAGGAAGCATTTGCCAGGAAGTAAAAAAGCATCACCGCCCCAGAAGGAGAGCTTTGCAACAAACCAACAAGCCCATAGCCTTCACCTTCAATGCGTTGTTAAAGAGTTTTCCAACATTTTGGAAACATCCGTCTGATTTTTGCTTGCTGGACAGCCAGATGACGCTTTGAGTTTGGACATTTGGATCAATAAAAATGGTCTTTGAAGCTCTTGCAAAAGACTTGTACGTGAAGCCAGTGAGCCTGCAAAAGAATGCCATGGAATATTAGCAATCACAGCCAAACTCAGGTCAAGCTCTCTTGAGCCCAGTGGGAGTGGGTGGCGCTGTGGTCTAAACCACTGAGCCTCTTGGGCTTGCTGATCAGAAGGTCAGCGGTTTGAATCCCTGTGACGGGGTGAGCTCCCATTGCTCTGTCCCAGCTCCTGCCAACCTAGCAGTTTGAAAGCATCCCAGTGCAAGTAGATAAATAGGTACCGCTGTGGCAGGAAGGTAAACGTTTTTGTTAGTGTATTGTTAGTGACCAGAGGAGAAAAAGAAAGAGCCTTGTGGCACCTTGAAGAGTGACACTACAGTGCAACCTTTCTGTGGACTATAGTTCACTTCATGAAATGTTATCCCACGTAAACAGAGAAGAACTGGCACCCACTCACTGTGACCAATCACACTACTGCATTTTCCAAGCTCTCACCAGGTGTTGCCTTCCTTGTCCCTGCTCCCAAAGGCACTGTAGGATCCATCTGGGTGCTTATAGGACAGCTGTCTCTGATACCCTGAAAAAAAGAATGCGGAAAAGTCTGTAGTTTTTAAAAAAACTGAGCACACATTTTTAAAACTAAACATTAAAAGCCCCCAATACTTGTGTTTGCAATTTAGCAGTTTAAAAGTACAGCACAATCCTATGTATGTTTCCAAAGCATGTTCATGACTAGGGCTTACTCCCAAGTAAATGTGTCCCGGGGAAGAATTCAATGTGGCTTTATAGCAATTGTTTTGTCAGTCCAAACTTTTCAGTTTGGCAGATGCAATGGTTCCCCCCACTCCTCCCCTTGTACACTGGTCTAGGGGTTCTCCTGAACCCCCAAGCCAATTTTGGGGTGTGTACAGGGGGAGAAGATGTGAGGATCCCTGTTGCACTACTGGGAGACTTCGTACTGACTTCCACTAGGAAGTCCTACCCTAGGATTACAGCCTTAACCGGGGTGATTAATTGCCTACTCTGGCACTGATGGCATTATTATGGAAAACAAATTCTGTGCATCTTCTGAGCAACTCAAAGAAGGCCCCTACCCAGGATGTACTATCTTGCCTCTGGACATGTACCTAAGGCGAACCTACACTCATGGTTTTTAACGTTAAGGAAGAGTTTAAAATGTTTTTGATAATGTAGATGGATATATGGCATCTTACTTTTTACATTCATAATGTGTTATTGCGTTGTCTTTTTATTGCTTGATTTTTAATCATTTTATGCTGCTATACCAGTGAAAAACTGCTCACATATTCCTATGTAGCGTTTTACTTTTTTTACTGCATTCAAACTCCAACCTCATCCATTGTCATTCAGGAGCAATGTTCAGTTTCTCCTCCTGCCCTTTGCTTCTTCCAAAGGACAGGGAGGGAGGGAGGGAGAGAGGGAGAATTAAAATGTGACCCCAGAGAGAGGAGCAGAGCAGCCAGCTCTCAGCCGCAGGAAAGAAACAGCATTTTTTCCCTAAAGTGCTCAACATAAAATTTGACTATATGATTAGAACACCCTTAAGTGTTCTTTGGGACATGGGTGGCGCTGAGGTCTAAATCACAGAGCCTAGGGCTTGCCGATCAGAAGGTTGGCAGTTCGAATCCCTGTGATGGGGTGAGCTCCCATTGTTCGGTCCCTGCTCCTGCCAACCTAGCAGTTCGAAAGCACATAAAAGTGAAAGTAGATAAATAGGTACCGCTCCGGCGGGAAGGTAAATGGCATTTCCATGTGCTGCTCTTGGTTCACCAGAAGCGGCTTAGTCATGCTGGCCACATGACCCAGAAAAACTGTCTGCGGACAAACGCTGGCTCCCTCGGCCAGTAAAGCAAGATGAGCACTGCAACCCCAGAGTCGTTCGCGACTGGACTTAATGGTCAGGGGTCCTTTTACCTTTACCTTTAAGTGTTTTTAATTAAATTAAAAGGTTGGATCCACAAATGCAGATCCATGTTGTGTTTCAAAAGTAAAATGGCCTTTCCAGTAGACATTTTCAGAGAAGATGATGGGCAGTATGTGTGTTTGTGTACTTGCAGTTCAATCCAACGCCACATTTAGTCCAGGGCAAAATGAATGCCAAGGAAAGTGTTAGCCATAAGGATATAAGGAAAGCACTAATGAATGAGAGGAAAGGTCCATCTAGTCTGGTGTTCTGTTCACACTGTGGCAAACATGACAGCCATGGAAAGCCCACAAGCCTCCTACCACTGGTTAAGTATCCAATGGACTTGGATTTGGTCTCCTCATCCAGTTGTCCTGTTGCATTTAGATACTCCATGACGTAAATGATGGGTGCAAAGAGCGCCATGTTCTGCTCCCCACAGCCATAGGGCATCCGGAGAAGTTGATGAAGGTTCTGCATGGCTGTGCCCATGAGGTCTCCTGTCAAAAATATTGTTTTGTCAGCATGACATATGTGCATATTTTTGCAAGCAAATCTTTTCTGACATGCAAGATGTCTCCTGATTCATAAGAAGCAAAATAAGATTCCAGCTAAAACATCTCCAAGATTATTACCCAAATGAGTGAGAGTGAACGACAACCTTGTCCTTGCAAGAAACCTACAAACTGACCTATGCAAGAGAAGTAAGCTCTGGCTGATCCTTCCACCAGATTTTCAGGGAGTTTCAGAGACACTGGCTCAGAGACGACAGCACCTGCAATTAAAATATTAAACTTAAAATGTATTTAAATACATTTTTTAAATAACAATTTATTAAATTTCCAAATATAACAAGAAAGAATCTTCAACAAATTTTTGAATCATAATTTTGATTGACTCCCCTCCCCCTCTTAGTTTCATTATTTAATACCCTTTCAAGAACGTTCTTAAAAACCTTAAACTCTTTCTGTTTCAATTTTAAACCTTCTTCATCATGTTACAAGTGACATATAAAAGTTTTCCTAATGTAAAAATCTGTACACAAAGCTTAACAGATATGCATTAGACATTTCAGAGTCCTCTTTCTTTCTTGGGTTTCAAATTAACTAATATGTCCTGCATAGTTCAATAGCTTATTTTACCAATCTTTCTTTCTTTCTATCTTTCTCTTTCCTTCCTTCCTTCCTTCCTTCCTTCCTTCCTTCCTTCCTTCCTTCCTTCTTTCTCTTTCTTATTTATTTATTTATTTATTTATTTATTTATTTATTTAAATGCAAAGGAGTATAGAAACCAAGTGCTACATGCAGAAAATAAGCATAAATAGGTGCACAACAATCAGCTTCAAGAGATTGATCTTGCTGCCTATTTATAAATGTGGGAGAGCCCTCTTCTGTTTGTTCACATATACATTTCAAATGCTTGCTGTGAGTGTCACTGCTATGCGAGGCAGGTTTTTTTCTAGGTCTCCAGGTTTCGAAGCGCCCCTTGGCAACACAGCCTCCAAGGGCTCTCCTGGCTTCCTTCCGTGACTCTGACCCCTATCTCAGTTCTTCCACTGCGATACCATGATGCCATTCCTAGTTCATCTCTGACAGCTGACAGCCGCTCAGCCCTGACGCCATCTGTGGCGATCACACAGGGTCCCCGGACGTTTGACGCTCTAGTGATCCCTGTGCCACCACTGTGCTCGCTTCCCCACTGCCACCAACCCGTTACTCTCGGGTACACACTGAGTCCAGACAGTTGTTAAAATTGAACCAATTAAACAAGTTTATGGTTTCTCAGATAATATTCTTGTCAGTTTCTTAACTTTAGTTTCTTTACCGGCCTATACCTTCCTAATACCTTCTGACTGATCATCTCAACTCTTTGACTGACTCCTCTTAACAGATTCTCTCACTCTCCCACATCAGACTAGCCCAACCTACAGACTTATCCTTTCTCTGTCTCTTTCCTAACTCCAGACTGACTTCTTAACAACTCTAACTCTAACTCCTCCTCTTGGGTTCCTATTGGTTAGTCATTTTACACTTAGTTAACCCTTTCCTTATGAACCCAGTATGATGTCACACACCTAGGAGGGCAAACGCCACACCATCCTATTCACAGTGGCGTAGCGTGGGGGGTGCAGGGGGGGCGGCTGCACCGGGCGCAACATCTGGGGGGGGGCGCTCGCACTCGCAGCTCTCTGCCCCCTGCTAAAATCCATGGGTTAGGGGGCGCAAATTACTTGCCTTGCCCCGGGTGCTGACAACCCACGCTACGCCACTGCCTATTCACAAAAGATCTTGCCCAGAGAAAATTGTCTGGCCATTGCACAAAGATTGGCCAGGCATATTTTTTTCTGGACAAGGAATTCCATAACTGGAACACAAGAACTGAAGCCCTAGATCTCACGACAACCCACTCACAGTCGAGCAGTCTTGACGTTACCATACAAGGCTTTCGGTATATTTTCTTACCGATGTTCCTGCACATTAGTGAAACACTATGCAAAAAGAATAGTCAACTAGCCATAAATACTGTAAAAAAATTGCTTTTTTGCACACTAGGTATGTAGAGGAATGGAAGACAAAATGAACTGAACGAAGAACTGCAGCAAAATGCCTGTGTTTGTGCTCTGGGCAACATTCAGATATATATGAAAACTAGAACAAAAGAGCCCAGTTCCACTTCAGAAACAACCCCAGGTAATTTGGAACGCCAAAAATCAACAGAAATTCAGCTGAGGAGAATGTTGGAAGCATTCCTCTTCTGACTAGGTACATCCTAGTGATTTGACAGGGCTCAAAAATAAACCCTTAAACCCTGGTTTAATCATTTTCCCCATATAAGCCGAGCATAGAAATGTGCAGCAGAAGTGATGCAAGGCTCTTCTTTATTTTTATTTTATTTGCAGGTAGCAGGGAAAAGCCAGCATCCCCAGGTACAGTACCATTAGTTGATCCCATGAACCTTTCATTACTTTTTGACAGGTTCCTTCAGTTCCCATGCTCATAGCAGCCCCACCAGAAGAGAGCAACCCTCTTACCTTCTGCACAGATAAGGCTGCTCTGGGTTAATTCTCTTTCAATGCCTTCAGACTATGAGAACAAAGAGGCAGAAAGAGGACATACAAATGAATGAATGAAGAATGAATGAAACAAAGAAATAGCAAAACAGGGAAATCCTAGATCTTTATAAACGATAACTATCACCACTGACACTCACATTGAGAAGCAATATTATATTGTAGTGTAACATGATGCTGACTTAAATCTGTCTAGGCTTACTATGGCTTTTGGAATCTGAATTCCCTTGCTTATCGTCAATCAGATTTTTGTTGTTTGTAGATGCTGGATATTACAATGTAATTCACAAAAACAAACAAGACAGTCTTAAGAGCAAGTTAAACATATACACCCCGACCCCCCGCCAGCAAGTTGTCAAAACTTAAAACTGTCCAGTTCCGTCATTCATTTAAACTGTTGCATATATAAAGAATTGTTGAGTTCTCATATCTCCCCACTCTTCTCTGCCTCCGTCTCCTCTTGAGAGCAGTAGTCACTGACAATTCTGCTAGTTATAAGACAGAAACTGCAGTTCTGCACATTGGCCGTCTATATTTATTATTAATTTGTTTAGATCTTTAAGACAAAACCTATCAGGTAACTCTGTGCTATGAGACCCGTGGAAATAAACAGAAGCAGCCCAAGAGCACATTGATTTCTGGTGCCTTTTTGTACAATACAAGTATCCTTCGCCATTTAATCTCCAAAATATACCTATTTTAGAATGCTATGCCAGTGAATTACTAAAAGTCAAATTTTACTCCTGAAACAAACACAGTTTGAAGTCCCACCCAAGAAATCAAGATACTACATTTTTGGATGACGTTCCAGTCCAAAGTAAATGAAGGTTTATCCACCATTACCAGCTCTGTTTTAATTCTAGTTCATGCAGTGATTCAAGCTAATAGATCCACTTGTGGTAGAACTGTTGGACCTCTGTCTATGAATGACACTTAGCTTTATGAGGGCCAATGAATTTAAAACTGGATCCTGACCAAAGAAAGAGATCCTCTTGGTTGGTGGTTTTTCTGTCTTGGATGGTGGTATTCAGGTGTTCTGGAGGGTGGCTGTACTCCCTGCTAAAGGATTAGGCCCACGGTTTGAGGGGTGCTTTTTGATCCAGCTTTGCTACTGGAATTTCACAATGCAGAGTGCCTCATCATTCAGCCTGGACACTGAGGTCCAGCTCCGAGGGCCTTCTGGTGGTTCCCTCACTGTGAGAAGTGAGGTTACAGGGAACCAGGGAGAGGGCCTTCTCGGTAGTGGCGCCTGCCCTGTGGAATGCCTTCCTATTAGATGTCATGGAAATAAACAACTATCTGACTTTTAGAAGACATATGAAGGCAGCCCTGTTTAGGGAAGTTTTTAATGTTCGATGTTTTATTGCTTTGTTAATCATAATAATATTCTGTTGGGAGCCACCCAGAGTAGCTGGGGAAACCCAGCCAGATGGGTGGGGTATAAATAAATTATCATCACCATCATTTAATGTTTTTCTTTCCTGCCTTTCAACTCATAAAGGCTACTTACATTTTCAAAATGACAATAACACGAAGTACTTCGGATGTTATACTGTACTTGCACAGTAGTGGAAGGAAACAATTGTCCAGTCCACTGAGTGTAAAATGCAGTGTGTAGCAACTATGAGATATCCTTGCAGGCGAAAAAGGGAATTGCTCCACATTTGATCCTGACTGAATTAGCTAATTAGCCGCTGAGAAGGAAGCACATTTTTTGAAGCTCAGATCTTCCCACTGTACCTCTACTATCAATTCTCTGACCAGGGTGTCCTTCCGTCCCACATCCAAGCCCCCAGATGTTCCATTTCCACAGTCCCCGCTGTTTTTTGGAGCTTCAGCAGTAACAGACAAGGTCACAGCACCTGAAAGCAAACATTTTAATTTTTATTTTTGTTCTGGCACTTTCCCTGGGAAAACCTGCATTTTACTGTTGAATCAAAGCAAGCAGTAATAGTTTGTGTGTGTGGATTGCCATTTGCTCCAATTCAGTGATAAAACATGGATTTTCCTGCCGAAAGAGTCGGGACAAAAACCAGAAAACAAAACCCACTTGAATACGGAGCTTTAAAGCGCAACGCAAAAGGAAGTCTGGGTGAGCCCTTTGAAAGAAGATTACAAATAGAAAACCAATTAATTTAGGTTTTTTGCCTTCTCTCTGCGCAAGGATCTTGCTCTCATTGTGCCAGTTTCTCTTTGGAACTTGCATGTAATTTACCCATGGCGGGTTGTCTTTTTGATATCCTTCCTGGAAAAGATGCAGCAAAAACCCAAAATAAAACCTTTCATGGGCAAATTTTCAGCTTCTTAGATTTCTTCTACAGATACAACTCTGAAAGCAAGAAGGGTCAGGATACTGAAAAACTCCTAGGGGGAAACTGGATCTGAGCTTAATAGAATGCAGAGCTGGTGGTTCATGCAAATGAACAAAAATAGAATTAAACTATTGAGTTCTACGGAGCTACAAAATTAGGGAGATGATCAACACTGGAAAACAGGCCAATTATAGACCTGCAAACTTGTGGTTACAGATGAGGGAGAAAATTGTTTCAGTTTGTATTTAAAGGTTTATATACCTGATTATAATTTCCTGAAATAATATGCAAACTGACACACAGCCATCCTTCAAAATTTGCACTTCCGCAAATTTTGCAATGCAGTTCTCCTGACAAGCAATGTCTACAAAAATGCAAGTACTAGGGTAAAGCATGCATATGGATGCATAAATTAGTGAAAATAACATACAAAAATTCATTTTATTAGAAAAAGTTGCCACGTGAATATGTGTGTATTAGGCAAACAGTGGGATATTCAAAGGGCAGCCAGGCCAACAATTTATAGGGACATGATATGAGTTGAAGCTCACAGAATTTTTCCTGGAGGTTTTCTAGAGAGAACTCTGTGAGACACTCCCAGTGTGCCCTGACAGAGGGAGGACTACACAAACCTATATCTAAAAATGCGCACCCAGGGCTGGATTGAGGTTTGATGAGGCCCCAAGCTCATGATATGATAGCCATGTTCAAATATATAAAAGGATGTCACATAGAGGAGGGAGAAAGGTTGTTTTCTGCTGCTCCAGAGAAGCGGACACGGAGCAATGGATCCAAACTACAAGAAAGAAGATTCCACCTAAAAATTAGGAAGAACTTCCTGACAGTAAGAGCTGTTCGACAGTGGAATTTGCTGCCAAGGAGTGTGGTGGAGTCTCCTTCTTTGGAGGCCTTTAAGCAGAGGCTTGACAACCATATGTCAGGAGTGCTCTGATGGTGTTTCCTGCTTGGCAGGGGGTTGGACTCGATGGCCCTTGTGGTCTCTTCCAACTCTATGATTCTATGATTCTAAGCTACTGAAGGTAATGGGGCCCTTTATATGTCCAGCTGTCCTTTGTCAACAACAAATTGTCACTGTTTTTTGTGTATTGAATATATGCTATATGGTAATTTCTGGACCTAATAGGTATCTAAAGCCATTTGCACATGTTGCCACACAACCAGTCCATGCAGAATGTGGGCACCCTATATGTAGAAATGAGCAAATCAGTGATATTTTAGGGAGCAGGCGGGGCCCATTACTTACATCACAGGAGCCTACACAATGTATGTAGGTTTTATTTTATATGTTTTTTATCTTCTATTTTGGAAATGTACATCCAGTGTTTTCCCTTTAAATTTTTGTGGGGCCCCCAAGAGAGTGGGGCCCCAAGCTACAGCTTGTTTAGCTTGTACATAAATCCAGCACTGTGCGTACCGTAGGAGAAAATTCACCCCAAAATGCTGATGAATTTTCATGATGGCTTTTTGATTTATTTATTGGGGGGGGGGAATGAACAAACTGAAGTAGAGAACTAAATTTAAGAATGGAAAAATCAGAAAGTGAGAGAAAACAAAATGGACATAGTCACTCACCCCCAAACATCAAGCTGAATGTACCCCACCAGAAGCTTGATAAAATCTCTTGATTTTACTGTCTTGCAGGAGGGGCATGGTTATAGAAAAAAAGACTTGGTTGGTCAGATGTGCAGGCATTCTGCATTTACATTTGGTGAACTGCATTTCTTACGCAAGTTTAAAACAGACAAGACTACCAGTTTACAAAGCAGAGAGGAAGAAAGAAGCTCACTCACCAAGTTTTTTAGCGCTAATATTCCAAATGTATGTTTTCCTCTCACCGCCACACACACATCCTTTATCATTCAAAGGTGAGAGAAGTTGGGCTTGGAAATCCCGGGATTTGGCCATTGATACATTGACCTGCCATAAGAGGAGAAACTACAGTTAATTAACAGAGTTAGCGTGGCTTCCTAGGACTAAGGGAGGATGCTTTAACCTCAGACAGGGCAGAGAAAACCAAGACAAAAAGGTATTTCATTCAGTCTCCTCTACTATAGCAGGGATCTATAGTAACAGAAAACTAACCTAAAAACTAGAGCCAAAATTTGGAGACAAACTTAAAATAAAATAAAATAAAATAAAATAAGGACAGTACTGGGATGGATTGGGAAAGGATAGAGGATGAACACAAGCCTAATAAATGCCACTCAACTCCACTAAACACTTTCTAAGGGACAGTACTGGGAAAGTGTTGGGTTGGGTGATAGCATTCTAGGCTACCTTGGCAGCTCTCAAAATCTAGCTTCTCTCTCCAAACACCATCATTGGTGAAGTTGGGTGAGATCATTCTAGCCCTCTTTCAGTTCCCTTCCTCCCCTTCTCCTTCCTTATATGGTGCTGTAATTAATAATTGCAACAGCTTGGAGACAGTCTGTCTGGCTTTCTGAGAAACTGTAGTGATCTACAGATTTGGGACAACTCAATCCATTCTTCAGTTATTTGTGGCTACTTCAACTTGAGCCAGACAGGGCACAAAGGGCCCTGAATTGGCCCAATTGGGTTCAGGATTTATCTGAATCTGATGCACAGCACTAGTGTAAACAATATCTCTGCCAGATCAAGGAACCAATGTAGTTCAACATTTATTATGTAGGCCATCAGAAGGCACTGTAAATGTTCTAAGTATATCCTTTGCACATAACTGCATCTAACTGTTTAAATACAAATGCAAAAACAATAAATGGGAATGTGTTATAAACTAAGCCAGCTAATTAAAAAGACAAATTGTTTATATAGGCCAATAAAGCCCTGACAGAGTGCAACTGGTTTAGCCATCAGTCTCACTTCCCAAGGAATTGTAGTGAGAAGGGAGTTGGAGATCTCTGAAAGGAAACTCTCAGCACCTTAACTAACTACAGTCCCCAGGATTCCTAAGAAAAGGCACAACATCTAAACTGGTACAAACTCAGTAGGAATCTATGTGTTTGCAAGTGTAATGTGCTTTAGTCTAACCTTTTCCTGTTTATCTCCCTGATGTGGATGGTTTGCACCCCAACCCCCAAAAACAATATGCAAGGGCCTTTTCTAGACATGAAAGAGAGCAAAGAAGGAATGAGAGGATGAACCTGAATGCATTCCTGCAGGTAGTTGAAGACAGTGACTCTGCAGAGGAAATCTTCCCCTCTAACTATGGAGTAAGGCAGCGTCATATGAACAAAGAATGGCTGGAAGGCAATCAGGGTGGCAGGCCTGGAGATGCCAAACCCAGCCTGCTTCTCCAAGCAGAAGGCACTGGCTTTCCACTCCGTGATGGTATCAGGGACGGTGTAGGTGAGTGTTGCATGTCCATCTGAACTAATAAGGAGAGAAAAACAAAAAAGGTATATATGGAAACACAGGCTTGACTATTTATATCCACATTACCGAGATGAAAAGCCTCACCATGTTCTTATGGTGTTGGGTTAAGTTGAAATCCACATCACTTTAAAAAAATCACTCTGCCTACTGCAGCAGGCTACACTATATGTCCAGTGGATGCTCGGGTTGCGAATGTGATCCGTGTGGGAAGCACGTCCGCAACCCGCAGCGCCACGTCTGCGCATGTGCGGGTTGTGATCCGGTGCTTCTGCGCATACGCAAAGTGTGATTTAGCGCTTCTGCACATGCACCGAAACCTGGAAGTAACCTGGTCCGGTACGTCCGGGTTCGGCGCAGTGTGCAACCCCAAATCGCACAACCTGAAGCATCTGTAACCCGAGGTATGACTGTACTGTTCTTGCTAACCCGCTTCTGATAATTGGAGAAAGACAGGACCCTCAAAAACATATCCTGTTTTTGGATAGCAGAAGGGGTGGGGGAAGAAACATGACCTTGCAAGGACTACGATAAGTCCAGAGTTACAGCAGATGCAAAAATCATTTGGTTGGCAGCATAGAAACTCTGTTAGTGGGGAGCAGCAAAGAGAATTGAGGGAACTGCGTATGTTTAGCCTGGTAAAGAGGAGACTGAGGGGAGATATGATAGCCATCTTCAAATAGCTAAGAGGCTGTCAACGTGGAGGATGGAGCAAGCTTGTTTTCTCCTGCTCTGGAGACTAGGACCCAAACCTATGGCTTCAAGTTACAAGGAAGGAGAGTCGGACTAAATATCAAGAAGAACTTTATGACAGTAAGAGCTGTTTGACAGTGGAATAGACTCCCACGGGAGATAAACTCTCCTTCCTTGAACGTTTTTAAGCAGGTGTTGGGTGGTCATCTGCCATGCATGATTTTCTTGAGATTCCTGCATTTCAGGGAGTTGGAATAGATGACCCTCAGAGTCTTTTTCACCTCTACAATTCTAGGATTCTATAAACAGAATCAAACCTGTGCAGAAATTGCCAGACAGAGCAGTGAAAGGCCTTCTGTGGTTTGCATAATGCAATCTTATTTGCAAGACTCAGAATATGCACTGAACCCAGGGAATGTCATTCCCAGCTAGAGCTGTTTCCAAGATTTTGGTAGATCTCAGGCAATGTACCCTCAGAACCACCCCTTTAACTTGAAAGAGCACTGACATGCAAAGAGGAGGGGGATCAGGAAGAGGGATTCTGTGGCCCACTAGATGTTGCTGGACTCCCAACTCCCATTAGCCTCACTCAGCATAGCCAATGTAAACCAGAAACATCTGGAGGGCTACAGGTTAACCACCCCTGGGGAAGAACCAGGGAAGGTTGAATCTGCCAATTTTGCTTCTCTCGGGTTTCCGTTTTCCCAATCTTAAATCCCTACATGCCTACATCCTTTTGTTATTTTAAAAAAGTCTTTATGAAAATTCACAGCATTTTGGTGCAAATTTCTCTTACACGTAGCTTTGTATGCAATCTTGCCAAATATATCAATTTTCTTGCATATTTCCCCTAATCTTATGCATTCTTCTAAGTTACATTTACTGATACATGCATTTTTATACATGGGTGGAGAACTTCACTGCAAAATTTGGAGACATGCAAATTCTGAAGGATGACTTTGTTTTGATTTGCATATTGCTTCAGAAAGTGAGAATTAGCTATATTCACCTTTAAATGCAAAGTAAAACAGTATCCTCCCTCATTCCCAGGTAGAACAAACTGGGTGCTAGCCAACTCTGGATACTCATTGTTCTTTGCAAAATCTTTGGCCAATGCCAATAACAGCCAATGTCAACTTACCCAATACCAAACAGTTCCCAGATCCAAGTTTCAGGGAAGAACCTCCGAACAGTCTCAATAACTCTATCTCGAGATACGTCTCCTGAAGGAGGTGGTGGCGGTGGCGGTGGCACAGATTCTAAAACAATAAGAAAGGATATCTGGACTCTTAGTTCTATGAATTTGCAGCGGTAAGTGGCAGGACGCAGGAGCAGCTACATTATCCCCTATGCAAAAAAATCTGTAGACATTAATCTTGCTTGGTCTGAGAAGGAGTTGTGCCTGTTTTGGACCATGCTCTGGCTTACTTCGATGACTATCCAGCTCCCCTGGGTCCCAGAAACCAACAACCTGGAGCCTAACCCTTCCTGTGGAATGACATCGGTTATATGGAGCAAGTGCTGGAAAATGCTCAGCAAAATGGCAGATATGACATGGGGAAGGCGTAAGTTCCTGAAATAGAAGAGTGTGCTGGGCCTGGGGGTAACCCGAGTAACACAGTCCAGGTCCAGTCCCGAATCCAAGTGTTCTGTGAGGAGTCAGTCCGACAGGGCCAAAGCAGGACATGAGGCAGGAAACCAGGCAAGGTCGGGCACAGGATCACAGGCAGGTTCTGGCAAACAGCAACATTGCTCCCGCAACCTGGGGAAGGGTCTGACAGCCTCTTATCTCTGTCAGGGTAACGGCCGGTCCCGATCCCCCGGTGACTCACCTCCCTGTCTCGCCCAAAGGCGAGCACTCCTCCTGCGAGTACTCAGGTCTCTCCTCTCAGACCTCAGTCTCTGCAGCTTGGGAGATGTCGGTGGGTTACTAGACCCAGAGGCCGCCTCAGCCTCTCCTGACCCAGTTGGTAGTGGAGCAGCTGTAAGTGATTGCCCAGCTGAAGGCAACGAGGTAATCCCCGCATCTGGAGCCAGGGCAGGCTCAGGCCCCTGACTCGGCCCAGCTGGTGTTTGTGGCAGGGGAACCTTTGCAGACTGGGGCTCTTCAGAATCAGGCCCCAGACTGGGTTCAGATGCCACCTGGGGCAAAGGATCCGGTGCGGACTGAGACTCCTCTTGCTCCGAGTCCGAGCCCTAGTCCCAGGCCATCACAAAGAGAGAATGACACAGGGCTAACATTTCCAGCAGTATCTCCGTGTTTTTGATAACATGCAGGTTGGTCTTCATGCACACACAATGCATCATTTGATGCTGAAATTACTGAGCAATGGGCAGGCACTGCTGGCCACTACAATCACCTGGATATCCAGGTTCAGGTCTGTATCCAAGAAAGCATTCCCCAAATGATAAGCTTGCTGCTCCAGGAGGAATGCAGTACTATCCCAGATAGGCTAAACATATAATCCAGGACTACCAGAACCCCAGGCAACTTGTCTGAAATAAACTTTGGCTGGTTCACTTTCATCCAGTCCAAAACTGCTGCCACATACAGATTCAGAACTTCCACTACCTCCATCTACATATGGTTGACACCAAACTCCAGGTGACATCTCCTAGCAACTTCATGCAGATGTGAAAAAGCCCGTGAGATGCAACAGGCTTCTGGCACAGGGCAGAACAGCAGTTCCCCATTGCTACCTTCTGGAACCTACTCACTAGGTAAGCCCAGAATAGTAAGACCCCCCCCATCCCATCCCAAATAGGCATTCTAGAAGGAAACCATGCTGAATGGTAGCAAAAGCTGAGGAAAAGTCCAGGATATTCTGCAGTGCTACACTTCCTTCTCCATCTAACTTTACGGGTTTGCACCATCCCCACCCAAATTACCTGCAAAGATAGGGCCAGATGTGGTTCTGGCAAAAATTTCAGATGACTCCTCAAAAGGCCGAAAAGGACCACGGCCACTGGAGCATATAACTGGTTGCCGAAGCCGGGAGTTGGTTACAAACTTTACACCCGTAGCCTGAATTTGAAAATAATAATAAATAGCTCAAGATTTTGCACACATTCCTCTTTTTCTTAATATTACTATCATCTCCATTATTTCTTTATTTAGATCATTTTTTCCTAGGGATAGAGGGATCTGTCAATTTCAGATTCTCTCTCTTTCTCATATTTCTAATCTTAAATTCTCCACATTTCTACATGATTGCAACTTTTGAAAAAAGATTTCTCATGAAAATTAATCAACATCTTAGTGCGAATTTTTCCTTATTTTATATGCCGTTTTTGCCTAATATAAACATATTTGCAAAACAGTTTACACCAGTTCTCCTCCTCGACCACATTCCAGCTCTACCCCACTTGATTCCTCTATAAGTCAGCTGATTGACTCATATGGGTCTCCTCTGAGTCACCTGACACTTTGCCCACTTTGGAATGTATAGCCTTTAATATTCCAAACTCCATTTCATTGACTGCTTTGCAATTTGAAAGCTAGTTAGAAATATTCAAATCATACGTTTTTAGTCATGTACCAGTGGAATGTGGCTGAGAATCACTAAAAAAACAAACACCCTCCAAAACACTATTGAGAATGGAGATGGTTAGACATTTCTTTTCTCTTAACTGCTCACAAAAGAACTATGTGCAAGTCTTACTCTTATTTCTCCATAGATATCTGGCCCATAGTTGAAGCTAGCAGGAACATAATACAAGCCATCATGAAATATGTTGTCTGGTGGAATGCAAGGCTCTTGGGGATCATCCTCTAGGTTGAACCCATTGAAGTAGTAACCAAACATATCATAGCTAAGGAGACTGTAGACCTAAGAAGGAGAAACCAGTGCAGAAGTCTGTTGTAAACAGGGCTAAAAATAAAATGAAATTCTGGACACAGACTCTGAAATTTTGTGTCACAAATGACTGAAATGTTCAGCCTGCACAGGGTGGGACTTGTGTTTGCCTTGGAAGATTCCATACTGTACAATCTTGGCTTCTAGTAGGGCTGCCATATGCCCAGGATTCGGGCTGCCAAAATGGCGGCTGAGTGGATTTTTGCTGAGTCAACAAAATATCCGGAAAACCTATCCGGAAAACCTGGCCATATTTTTCTGGGGGGAGGGGGGGATTTTCACTTTTGGGAATATGGCAACCCTAACTTTTAGTGTATCCCTTACAGAAGTGGCACATCAGCAAAGCAGAAGTTTCTGTTATAATCATCTCTGCTGCCCTTGCAACCTCTCAGCCAACCCTTTGTCATCCTGGTTACCACTTAGGATGGCAGGATGGGAGCAAGCAAAGACTCATACTCAGAGCAGGACAAAACATGTCTCTCGACTAGGGCCCGAAAGCCCGAAAAATAGCAAAGTGGTGAGAAAGGTCTAGAAACGCCAGAGCTGGTGAATTTATCGTGACTGAGTTTGGTCTTTCAAATTTCAGTGGCACCCTGTACAAGCCCCAAATTTGGTGCCCTCACCTCTTATATTCTGTTCTGGGTGTGCACTGCGTCATACTTGCAGTGCCCTACAGCGTCCCCTTCAACTCGGTGGCCAGCACAGGGGAACTGGTTGTGTTGCCCTAAATCCACCTCTGGCCATGGTTGGAAAGGTGGCAGCATTCTTTATTGCATCACTCAGTGTCAGGGACGTGGCTGAATTGAACGCCTGGGAAGAATCTGACTCTGGAGATGAAGGATTGCCAGTACAAAGGGAGCGAGAGTCTGACTCTGGAAGCGAGGGATTGCAGTCACAGACAGAGCAGGAGTGAGTTAGTTCAGCCCCCCTTCATCAAGAGTTCCCAGACTTGGAAAGCTCACAGGCAGAGGGAGGGGAGGAGATAGATGACATTGAGGGAGTTGCCAGGCAACCGGGAGGTAGAACCAGAAGAGCTGAAAGGGTTAAAATGCAACAGAAATGCAAAAGAGGAAGGACTGGACTTTGGCGCCCTTCGTGCTGTGACGGGGGCAGAGACTCAGAATGACCAACTCGTAGCTAAAAGCGGCAGGCTCAGAGCCATGCTCTGGATGTAAATTGTAAATAAACGTGGCATAAAACTGCCGGAGACTCATTAGTTCTTATTGGGGCTTGCTTGCCTGCCTGAGATCATTACACTCAGCATGCAAGATTCGGTGTGGGCAGAAACAGGCAGGTGGCTTTTGCTCTTACACTTTCAGCTGACAATTCTGTCTCTGGCTTCAAGAGAAGAACGCTCTGGTCCACAGCTCGCAGAGCACAGTGGGAGTTGGCAGCAGCTTTGACATCGAGGCTGACATTTGAAGCTGGAAGAGCTTCCTTCACGGAGAACTGGAGGCTGACCTGAAATCAAGTATAAAACATTTAAATGATTAATTTCATGGGAAGGCCAACTGATTTCTAGATGACCTTAGTATAAAGCCTTCTTTCCATCTTAGACTCTTAGAAAGCCACCATACTTAGATTGAGACACCTGTTGTGGCCTATTGTGTTACACTGGGTTTGTTTCACTTATCAGTAGGGGCTTCCTGTATAGCTGAATAAGAAAATGAATTATGGAGTGGGGCACATTTATTTCATCTTCTAGCTGAACATGTCTTATGCTTGTTGGAACTGATGTCTAGTCCCCAGGCTATGAAACACCATCAGGGAGGGAGGCAAGCAGATGCTGAGGGGGATTGTTAGACAACCACTAAACACTTGTCCCCACAATCTGGTGTAAGCCATACAACTTCCATACAATGAGCAAACTTCTGAAATTCCAGAAGACCAAGAAAAGACTAAAGCTTAACTCATCCAGCTTTTCAAGGAGCTTTCCTAAGAACAAATCGCCATGTTCCACATGTTCCACATAACACCGGTCTTGAAAGACCTACATTGACCTACATTGGCTCCCAGTACGTTTCCGAGCACAATTCAAAGTGTTGGTGTTGACCTTTAAAGCCCTAAATGGCCTCGGCCTAGTATACCTGAAGGAGCATCTCCACCCCCATCGTTCAGCCTGGACACTGAGGTCCAGCGCCGAGGGTCTTCTGGTGGCTCCCTCACTGCAAGAAGCAAAGCTACAGGGAACCAGGCAGAGGGCCTTCTCGGTAGTGGCGCCCTCCCATCAGATGTCAACGAGATAAACAACTACCTGACATTCAGAAGACATCTTAAGGCAGCCCTGTTCAGGGAAGTTTTTAATGTGTGACATCTTAGTGTATTTTTGGTCTTTGTGGAAGCCGCTCAGAGTGGCTGGGGAAACCCAGCCAGATGGGCGGGGTACAAATAATAAATTATTATTGTTGTTGTTGTTGTTGTTGTTGTTGTTGTTGTTGTCAGCACACAACCCCAGAGTCGTTCGCGACTGGACCTAACAGTCAGGGGTACCTTTACCTGCATATGAAGTGTTTTGCAGTTCTTACCTCATTGCGTTATCTTACCTTATTGTGGAAGCACTTTTCTATCTCGAATCTGGCAGTATCAGCAACCACCTCCCTCTCAGGATGTAGAGTATAGACCAGCAGCGTGGCAACGGGAGCCATGTTTGCATCGACAGAAAGTGAGATGTAAAAGTGGCCTTTGGAAGCTGCCGAATCATCTGCATGGAGAACAGTAAGAGACAAGCTGGGGTCATCAGCCTGAAACACAAGGCTCTTGGCAGAGGGCTTTGAGAGAAGACGATAAAGAGGCTTGCACACTTACAAAATTTACACTGGCTCAACAGACTCAATCACCGTTCAGGATCATGGTCTACAAATATAATAAATAACCAATGGGGCTTTTAAAAAAAGAATGTATGTGGTGGGGCAAGAATTTGACACATGAGCACATTTTGCAAGCAAAATCAAGGCAGACATTTCACCTACATTCTTCCTATACCCAGAGCTACGGTGGCTCATCCAGTTTTTCCACCTGAGGCAAAATGGGAACGTGCTGTCCTTGCTGCCTCCCCTCTGCCACCCTCTACCAAAGCCTCACTTACCAGGGTCATGTGGCGGTGGATTCTAGTGAGGTCTCATGAGATCTTGCTAGAAGCCACTGCCATTTCCGTTGGGCACCAGTGGGTGCGGTGCCCTGGGGGACTCCATCACCTGAGGCAGTTATCTCAGTCCGCCCCATGGGCGGGCTGGCCCTGACCCAGAGCCTCTAACATATGGTACCTCCCTCCAAGAAAACAAATCACCTTGGGGAAGAGAGATGGAGTAGCAGCCAGATGAGGTTTCAAAGGCTGGAGGGTCCCTGATTATTCCCAAGCAGGGGGAAACAAAGAAACTGCTGTTGTGGGAGCAATATGGTACCCCACTGAAGAGGAGTCTAATACCCTTTTTACTGTGGAACAAGGCAGCAAGGTTGCACTCCAGGAACAGTTTTTGCAAGATCAGCCCTATAGTGTAGTCCAATTTGGAAACCAATGAAGAAAAGCTCTCGACGTTTTGGGCATATTGGAACTGAATTCTTGCCAACAACAGCTAAGAGCAGAATGAGGGACAACAATAGCTGTAAACAGGTTCAAGAAAACACACACAACAATAGGAGGGGGTTTACAGACCCTTTCGTACCCTTCAAAATGGCCGTTTTCATGAGGAAAACCAAACACCACTAAATTTCAGCACAGCACTACTTACCACGACTGAGGGTGACAACTTTTCTGCCTGAGTTTATAATTTTGTTCTTCACCAGTACCTGTGTACACCAAGAGGGAAATAAGCAATAGGCAGTGTAACTCAAGGGCGTGGGAGAGTATGGCTCAAAAAAATCGCCTCACAGCAGAATCTCAAATTATGAATACAAGTTTGGAAGCCCTTTGATATTTTGAAATGTATCAAAACAAATTTTTCTCTCTCCTGTTCAGTGAATCCTTATTCACCTTGTACAAAAGATATTAACGATCGTGCACACACACAATCCTGCAATGTTTACCGTGCAAAAGTTGCCACCTGTCCTCATGTCACTCAGTAACTATGGCCCATAGTGGCAGTGGTTCTTATCCTTTTGAGCAAGGGAATCAATTGTTTTGAGCTCAGCACACTCAGTGTTTTATCAGTGCATATCTGTAACCTTGCTAGGGGGTGGGTGGGGATATATAAACTGATTTATATTAAGAGATATGAGAAAAATTAGGAAAACTTCAAAATTCATTCCAGCTTTGGAGCATGTAGCAGTAAACTTGCATTCCGAACGAATTTCACCGTTTTCCTTTTTTTTTTTTAAAAAAAAATATTTTTATTAATTTCCCAACACATAATAAAGACAATACAATACACAATACACAATCAAACAAACACATAAACACGTATAATTTCAAAACCTTCTTTTCATAGATCTTAATTCACGACTTCCCCACACCTCCCCTTTCTGCCTCCCTGTTTCAGCATTTCTTCAGCAAGTCCTCATTTCGAATTTCACCGTTTTCCTAGTTTTTTAAATGTCTTTTTATATAAAAAAAGGAAATGTTAACCATGCATGATCATCTCCTAGTTAAATCAGAATTCAGGGAGAGTGCAGAGAAAAGCCAATGATACAGAATGGGAGCAATCTGCTCATCCGGTTTTGCCACAGCTGAACCCAGCTGGGAGTGACGTGGTGGCTTGGGTGCCCGCAGGCTCTATGCTGCCCCAAAAGGTCCGCCCACCGCCTCCCCCTCAGCTGTAGGGTGGCTGAGTGGGAGGAGGCAGGCAGATTCCTCAGAGGCCCAGCGGAGCATCCTGCCCTGGCTCGCCCCGCCCCCTGGGCGCCTGGCCCCGCCCCTGGGCACAGGGCATGCACGCTGCCCCAGGTGCCCGATCGGCTTGCTCTGCCGCCGGCTCTGCATTGGCTCAAATGCTTTGGGAACACATTTTTGCCACAGAACAGTTTACAATAATCATTCCTTGAAAAAGATTTCATTGAAACAAGTCGGGTAGCTTAATAAAAATTCCTTCTCGAAATCTGTTTGAGGGTCAAATACCTCCTTTTGCATTTTGGTGGACCATAGAACCATAGAACTGTAGAGTTGGAAGGAACCATGAGGTTCATCTAGTCCAACCCCCTGCAATGCAGGAATCATTTGCCCAGTGTGGGATTTGAACCCATGACCCTGAAATTAAGAGTCTTGTGCTCTACTGACTGGGCTATCTCCAAGCCTTCTGTTTGTTTGTTTGTTGTTTGTTTGTTTGTTTGATCTTCTTTCTTTTTTTGCAGGCATATGACCTCCCACCCCCAATAAATACTTCCATGTCAAATAAAGAAAACCGAGCAGCTCTTTGATACTTACAAAGAAATAGAAGGTTGCAGTGTTCCGTCTTTTTATAGTCAGGCTGTAGGAGACTTTGATTTTGCTGACCTGGTCGCAAGGCAACTCTCCTGGCACTTGGTGTATCTTCACAAAACTATCTGTTCTGGAGTAGAAGCGCTGGACGGAATGATAGGCCTCTGGATAGTAGGGTAATAACCAGCCATCGCTGTTGCAATTTTCATTGGGTTTATATATTAGCTGTAGGCAACGGGGAAGGGAGGGCAGAGAGGAGGAAGATGTAGAAATCAGCTCATCACATTATTTCTCTATGGGAAATTGGACAAGTCAGGGTCATTGGAAGCCTTCAGATTACAAGCTGCAAATAGGGACACACAGCTTTAGTGACTGATTTGTTATTTTTTCGTTTTTTAATTGAATTTAGATACTGCCCTAGAGCCGGGGGTCCCAGGGCGGTTCACAGAATAAAATCAAGATATAAACCCACGAAAACAACAACCCAGTAGGCCCCCCCGCCCAAAACCCCCCACATTTTAAAAGGGCATGGGATGTCAATCAGATCAATCAAAGGCCTGGTTAAAAAGGAATGTTTTTGCCTGGCGCCTAAAGGTGTATAATGAAAGCGCCAGGCAAACTTCCCTGGGGAGAGCATTCCATAGGTGGGGAGCCACTGCAGAGAAGGCCCTGTTCTTGTGTTGCCACCCTCCGGACCTCTCAAGGAGAGGGAACACGAAGGAGGGCCTCAGAAGATGATCTCAGGGTCCAGGTAGGTTCATATGGAAAGAGGTGGTCCTTGAGGTATTGCAGTACTGAGCCATTTAAGGCTTTATAGGTCAAAAACCAGCACTTGGAATTGGACCTGGAAACTAATTGGTAGCCAGTGCAGTTGGACCAGGATCGGTGTAATATGCTCAAACCGTCTTGCTCCGGTGAGCAATCTGGCTGCTGAATTGTGCACTAGCTGAAGTTTCCAAACCGTCTTCAGAGGCAGCCCTACATATAACGCATTGCAGTTATCTAACCTAGAGGTTGCCAGAGCATAGACAACAGTAGTTAGGCTATCCCTGTCCAGATAGGGGCGTAGCTGGACCACCAGCCAAAGCTGATGGAAGGCACTTGGAGGCTACTGAGGCCACCTGAGCCTCAAGCGACAGCAAAGGATCCAGGAGTACCCCCAACTATTATTGGAGATACCGTGTTTTTCTGTGTAAAAAAATTAGGCAAAAATTGGTTGTCGTCTTATACACAGATAGTGAATGCAGAGGAGGGGGGGAACGTGAGATTAATGGCAGCAGCAAGCAGGAGATTGGCAGCGGTGATTGGGCGGGTGATTGGGGCTGCAGCAAGGCCTGCTGGCGATTGGCTGTGGCAGCGGCAAGTGGGCGGGTGGGCTGTTGGTGGCAGCTAGCGGGCAGACAATTGGTGGTTGCGGCGAGGTGTGCGATCGGCAGTGGCTGTGGCAAGCGATCGGCAGTGGTGGGCAGGCGGGTAAGCGATTGGCGGAAGTGACCTCCCCCACCCCCCCGAAAAAGCTACACAACTTGATTTCTTAATTTTGGGTTAAAAAAAAATAGGGGTCTTATACACGGAAAAATACAGTAGTTACTTAAAGGGGACAGTTCCCTAGTCCTGGACTTGGGTACTAGCTACCTATTACATGTAAAGGTAAAGGTAAAGGGGCCCCTGACCATTAGGTCCAGTCGTGACCGACTCTGAGGTTGCGGCGCTCATCTCGCTTTATTGGCCAAGGGAGCCAGCGTACAGCTTCCGAGTCATGTGGCCAGCATGACTAAGCCGCTTCTGGCGAACCAGAGCAGCGCACAGAAACGCCCTTTACCTTCCCGCCGGAGCGGTACCTATTTATCTACTTGCACTTTGACGTGCTTTTGAACTGCTAGGTTGGCAGGAGCAGGGACCGAGCAACGGGAGCTCACCCCATCGCAGGGATTTGAACTGCCGACCTTCTGATCGGCAAGCCCTAGGCTCTCTGGTTTAACCCACAGAACCACCCACATCCACCTATTACATGTAAACATGTGCAATACAGCACTGGCACCTTTAAGAAAAGAGAAAGGGGAAGAGGTGTTTGGAGAAGTGTGCAATAGCCCTGGCTTCTGTCGGTCACTTACTCTGAGAGAGATATCTGAGCTAAAGAATGTTGAGGTATCAATACAAAACTCAGCGGTGCCATTTCCATCGGTGCTGTAGTTGCCCACATTTTTGTTGTTGACATGTAGTTGGACAATCTCATTTCCAAGGGGAGAGTCATCAACATCAACCAGTTTTATCTGAAGGAGAAGGAAAACCCCAGAGGCATCAGTGGCTCATCTCTGACTCAGCAATGCTCTCCAAACCCAAGGCTTTATCTTGCAGAGCGATCCTGAGCAGCGGTGCAAAGCGACCACCACATCTGAAAGCCTGTCACCTTGCAGAAGTCGGGGGGCATTTAAAATTGGACCCCTTGAGAAATCAGAGGGACTTTGGATCCAGTGGATCCAAAGCCAATGGCAGCCTGCCTCCAAACACAATATTTTGGAAGGAGCAGCAGGGGTCTCTATAGAAGCGGACATTTCACTGCCTACCCACCCACCAATCAAGCAGCAAAGATCAGGGAATTAGGACTGCACTGTTTATTTTGGTTCCCCCAACATTTCTCATAGGTTTCACATGAGGAAGAACCTTCAGGTTAATGTTGATAATTACAGAGTAAATTTCAAATTTTCAGAGTGCTTGAACTGGAGATTTTCCAGCTAGCTGCTCATACTCCTAGCATTCTACAAGAGCTCTCAGTTTCACAGTTTGCTTAGGAAAAAACAATAAATCCTTATTCCCTCTCTGTTGAAGGGCATGTGGGAATCTCGAAACTTATTTCCATGCTTGGTGGGAATGTAAAAATTGTTCATATGTTCTGGACCAGGTTCTTCGATATTATTTTTATAATTGTTAAACAACCTCTCTCGCCAAATCCAGATTTAGCCCTGCTTTTGTTAAGCATAGATTCTAGCCTCACTATTTGACATAAAGATTTGTGGGGGTTTTTTCCTATTGGCGGCCACACATTTGGCGATAGCATGTTTTTGGAAATCTCAAGCTGAGCTACCCCTTGAGGTTCAACAACATTCGGGATGTGGCTATCACAGAGTGACTAGCAAGGCTTAGAAGGGTAGTAAAACTACCTCAGTTGAATTCTGGTCTCCTTTCTTTTCATATGTAAGGGAAGAAGATAACAATTGCCTCCCACCAACTTCTCAAATTTGTCTGTGGATTATGTCTTAAGAATATGCTTGAAATGACACTACATACTCAATTTAATTTTTTTGTAGATATTGTATTGCATAACTAGACTTGTACCCAGATGTTGTTTTCAACAGTTTTATTATTTTGGAAAACAAAAAATTCATAGTAAAAAGAAGCTCTCAGATTCACTTCAGATTTCATGAAATCTAGGGACAACCTGGGGATCTATAGGACAGTCGTAATGTTTGTTACTAGTACAACTGGCTTTCCTCAGACTTTATTAGATATTTCCCCTGTGCAGATCTTTTTATGTCCCACCCTGCATTTACTTAAAACTTCCCTTCAGCTGAAATTTCAGTGACAAATGTGGTTTTGTTTCTCAAAAGGCATTCCTTCAGTTTCGCTGTTTCACTCCTAAAGGAGATGAAATTTAGTCACTCATCTCTAGCTATAGGCATTTAGGCTGCGTCATACTCAGCTTCTCATTTTACCTGACCACAATAGGGGATCCCCCTTTTATAGTCCCGGTCCATATTCTGAAATGTCACAGTCCCCAGTATCCGAGAAACTGAAATGTAGGCTGAACGTTCACTCTGAATCCCTGTGCGAGAGTCCAAGAACAAACATAATTAGCTGACTAATATGAAATAAACTATCCAAAATAGTTTCATGCCTGCTGTTTATTTATTTTCCCAGCAGTCTCTTTTTGATTACGTGGAAGGGGTTACCTGTTCCTTTCTCAGTGACGATGGCTTTCACATCTAGGTTCATCCAGTACCCTGAACGATTAAGCTCAAAAGTCTTGGAACTGAAGACATGGGCAAGGCAGCCATCTTTGCCCAGCTGAAAAAGAGGAGGGGTATGGATTAAAATTAATTGGTGTTGCTGAGGAGGAATTAAAGAACCTTTTATTGAGGGTGAAAGAGGAGAGCGCAAAGTATGGTCTGAAGCTCAACATCAAAAAAACGAAGATCATGGCCACTGGTCCCATCACCTCCTGGCAAATAGAAGGGGAAGAAATGGAGGCAGTGAGAGATTTTACTTTCTTGGGCTCCATGATCACTGCCGATGGTGACAGCAGCCACGAAATTAAAAGACGCCTGCTTCTTGGGAAAAAGCAATGACAAACCTAGACAGCATCTTAAAAAGTAGAGACATCACCTTGCCAACAAAGGTCCGTATAGTAAAAGCTATGGTTTTCCCAGTAGTGATGTATGGAAGTGAGAGCTGGACCATAAAGAAGGCTGATCGCCGAAGAATTGATGCTTTTGAATTCTGGTGCTGGAGGAGACTCTTGAGAGTCCCATGGATTGCAAGAAGATCAAACCTCTCCATTCTGAAGGAAATCAGCCCTGAGTGCTCACTGGAAGGACAGATCGTGAAGCTGAGGCTCCAATACTTTGGCCACCTCATGAGATGAGAAGACTCCCTGGAAAAGACCCTGATGTTGGGACAGATGGAGGGCACAAGGAGAAGGGGACGACAGAGGACGAGATGGTTGGACAGTGTTCTCAAAGCTACCAGCATGAGTTTGACCAAACTGCAGGAGGCAGTGGAAGACAGGAGTGCCTGGCGTGCTCTGGTCCATGGGGTCCCGAAGAGTCGGACACGACTAAACGACTAAACAACAACAACAACAAATCTGGCCCAGTGCCATTGATGACAATAGAAACAGCTTCCAAGAAGCCACTGTGTTTTAATGCATGCCAGATGTCTGAATATGATTCAGGGTGCCCACCTACTTAGGTTGATATTCGCTATTGATCTCATGGAGCCATGCCCAGTCCTTGCAGCATCCCTAAGAGAGCTGAGTTTGAAGGCAACATGTTGCCCCTCCATTTCCCGTGGACCAGCTCCAAGTATTGTTTCCCATGTGTGCTTTTGCTTAAATTATCCAATATCCATTTGGAAGATTTTGGCGGGGGTGGCTATAGCCCTGTTCACACAGCTATAGCCCTGCTAGAACTGCTTCCATGCCTTCAATGGGAGATCTGAAAGGTGCCCATGGACAGCTTCAGGATGCTGCTCGCATGGCAGCCCATACGGATGCTCATATGGAAGGCGTGTGATTGGCAGCCCATATGGAGTGCGCATGTGCGGCAGCCCATAGAGACGCCACGTAAGTGGCGCTCATATTGACTGTGTGCGCCCTCGGCCGCTCTACAGCTGGGGGGAGGCAGGGGCCATCTTGTCACCCCCCTGAGTGGCACCCCGTACGAGATGCCGCACATGCGCACTTTGTATGGTCATCGTGGGTGCGCCACCAGGTGGTTCACCCCGCCCCTCAGCATCCCACCTTGGGTGCCAGAGAGGGTTCCTCCGCCACTGGTGTGGTGCTGATAATGCCAAGGTTGCGGGCTTGATATCTGCATGGGACAGATGCATATTCCTGCACTGCAGGGGGTTGGACTAGATGACCCTTGTGGTCCCTTCCAACTCTACAATTCTGTGATTCTCTATGATCTGTCTCCTGGCAGCAAGTCTGTACACAGCTCCATCCCTATCCATTACATGAAGGCAGGATAAGTACTGTGGATATTACACTGGGCTGAGGTCTGCGGAGTATAATTCAAAGGATTGGACGATGCAGCACTTTTGACTTCATTGCAAACTGGACTGCATCATTATTTATGGAATAAATTTTTCTGGCTGTGCAAAAAGGCCTAATGGGAAAGGAAAACAGGAGAAGACAATGGAGGGAGAAGAAGGCCAGAAAATGATAAGGAACTATGTATCTTACTTCTTCATTAACAGATTCACAGATAGGGTCCCTCTTGCAAGTTCCATAAAAATTGAGATTTCTGCACACACTGAGCTGAGCTTTCCCCTCAACTGGCTGCCCATACGTATACCTAGAAGGGAAAGAAGCATACAGTATTTGAGAATAGATGGCCTAGACGTAAGAGCTAGAAATACAGAAAGGACTACAGATTCACAGATGCACTGGAAATGTGTTTCCTCTGATAAATGCACCTGATGAGTTTTGCATTCAGCCTCAGCAAATGTCAGCTGCCTTTGCATGCTGACATAAATTTTGTAGGTATCAGTTGATTCCTTACATAACCTTCCTTAAAGTGGTGGCTGTTAACATTTTGACTTGGTGGGGCTGCAATTTGTAACCATGCCACTTCCATCGCAATATGACCTGTGCATCATTTATTTATGAAAGGGTGCCATTACTCATGTGCAGAGTACCATTGTCTCCTCCTCGCTGAAAAAACATCAATTATTCTCTGCACATCTATGGACACAGGAAGACTTTTCATGTAAGGGGGAGGGGGCAAGTATGATTTTCAGACAAGATTGACTCCAAACTGCATATTTAGAACTTAAGCCATACCATGACATAAGTTTTTGAATTCATGCACTGTTTATACCTACACATCAATCACTAAAAAATTAACGCAAATACTTTTAGAATGCGAAGGAGAAGGGCTTCCTGTTGCACGTGTTTTCTCTCCACCACAAAATTTATTTAACTATTCAATTAACCCAAAACATCTTTTTCTGTAAATGGAGAAAACAATGGAAGCAGAAGGTGGGATACTGAGTTTGCACATACCCCTTCAATATATATAAAAAATATTATTTATATGCTGCCCACTCTGGGCGGCTTCCAACAGAATATTAAAAACACGATAAAACATCAAACATTAAAAACTTTTCTAAATAAAGCATTCTACCAACAGGCAAATAAATAAATGTTTCATTTGAGTACATTAGAGCATAGCAGAACATATTTTCCATGCATATCTCAGTCTTAAAAATGTGAATAATCATTATCAGCTGCTGATATGTCTGAGCTTTGGGAGAAGATCTCCCAGGTTTGGGGAAGGAAGTGCAGTCATATCCAGATAGGTACAGAGACCAAGCTTTTCGTTTTCAAAACTCACAAAAAAAGCAAGCTCTAAATAATACTAACAGCATTTTCTTTCACCCCTCTCCATTCAAGTTATTCTGAACTCAAGCTAGGGAAGGGGTCTGTTGGAAGCAGAGCCATCGATACCTTCTGAAAAAATGCTCTGGATTTGCATGTGGCTCAGACTTAGTTTACTTACCTGACTCCACACCACAGTTGCTGCAGCTTTTAATGAGTGAATGGAGGGAACTATGTGTGGGACAGGAAAGAGTACATGGCTTTGAGACTGTAAGTAGGGAATTTTTAATAATTGCCTGGCATTTTCAAAGGTAGTGTTGTGCCTTAGCCCCAGTAGATCAGCCTCCACCACTAAAAACGTGTACTTCAGCCATTGGGCCCAATACTTACGAGCTGCACACCTTCACAACGAAATCTGGATTCTCCACAGAGACTGTTTTCGGTGCACTGATAGTGATGTCATACAGTGGTAATACTGAAGAATGAAAAAGACACAGTCAAACATATATTCCAGAGAAACAGTTTGCGATTTTGAACACTTTGGCACATTGGTGTAGCATGGGGGGGGGGGCGTGAGGGGGCCATGGCCCTGGGCACATTTTTTTGAGGCTCTCTCATTGGAGCTTTGCTCCGGCACGTAATAGAGCTGCAGAGACAATTTCCTCTCACGATGGCCCAACGCTGCAGCTCCACTTCTGGGTCAGGTCAGACCTGGGGGCAGAGAGGAGGAGAGTCGATGGCTGCTTCCCCACCCCCCTCTTCGGCTGCACTGTGGCTCATGAATGTGCCCCGCCCTTGCAAGGTGAGCTGCGGCAGGCTCCCTCCATGTGCTGCTCCTCACCCACCCACACACCCCGGGGCACTGTTCATGTATGCTCCACCAGTGATTTGGCATGTGTATGAGGCAAAGTTTGAGGCTTGTCTGGTCAGCCTTTTCCTCAACTGACCCACCTTCTGAGACAGACCATCCTCACACTTCCCAGATGATTATCAGCACTGAGAATTATTATTATTCTCATTTGCACTGAGAATCGTCTAAGACAGGGGTCTGCAACCTTTAAGAGAAAAAGAGCCACTTGGACCCGTTTCCGGAAAAACAACAACTGGCAGCCGCAAAACTCGTCATTATAAAAATAACTTTTTTGTCACTTTTTTATTATTTCTTTGTTTGACCCCTCAGAATTACTCCTCCTCATAGAAATAAACGTTAAATTAACAAGTTACCTTTTGTGTGTGTGTGTTCTTCACTCCCCTTCAAAACAGTGACCAGCGTACATGCCCCCTTTCAATGCAGTGACCAGCGTACATGCCCCTTACAATGTAGTGGGCGGGCGGGCAGGAAGGTGACGCCGGGACGGTGCGTGACTAACGCACGCACCACCCCATGCGACGTCACAGCCAGTACAACGCCCGCCACAGTGGGGAGTGTTGGGGCGCACAATGCGCCTCCCCCCCGCTAGTATCCGCCCCGGAGCCGCGGCAAAGGTGTAAAAGAGCCACATGCGGCTCCGGAGCCGCGGGTTGCAGACCCCTGGTCTAAGAGAATGGTGATACTATTATAAGGAAACGGCATTGTAAACAAACAGTTGACTCTCGCAGAACGATTTGTTTTACCATTGCATTTTAGGTGGTTTACGAAAATGTCAGGTTTATTTAATAGGTATGAGGAGGAGGCGGAGCTAGCACCACAGCATTAAGCTGCTACACACGCCCCTCGGAGGCACCTGGTTGGCCATCTCCGGTGGGCGTGGGTACCAGCCAAGTAGGAGGGGAGGGGGCTAATGCCCCCTACCGGGGGCGGAGCTCGGTCTCCCGCCCACAACCACTCCCCTCTCTTCCAGGGAGGAGAGTCTTTACCAGCAAATACATACAACTCCAGCATTGATAAGTATGTGTTTGCCTTTGAACATTTTGTGTGTTGTATGTGACTTTTCTGAAAATCCAAGTTGCTACATTTTTATACCAGGCCAGAAAATTAAAGACCTTCATCTTCCAGCAAGTCCTAATTGTTTTCTGAACCTTAGAAAATAACAGGTACATATGTTTACCATATTCCTTGACAGAGAATGTATGGGAGGTCTTAGCTCCCGATTGACTCTGCACGATGATTTCATAGTCTCCCAGTATTGGCTCCGAAATTATTGAGAATGAGAGCTGAACAATAGAGATCTCAGACATTACATTTCTCCACTGGAATATCTGGTTCCTCTGGGGATCCTAGAAGCGCAGAATAAAGGCACATTAAGGCGAGAAGCCAAAGATTCAACTCAGGTTGCTTAGTTTCAGGAGAAACTAGATTAGCAGTCAGCAGGTAGCAGTCAACACAAGCCCAAATCCGAAGGCCACTTATCAACATAGAGCCAAAAAAATGCTTTTGAGGAAGCCAACAGTTGACAGGACTGACTGTCCCTGTCCTCTACTTCCTCTAGGTCAGGGGTAAGCAAACTTTTTCAGCAGGGGGCTGGTCCACTGTCCTTCAGGCCTTGTGGGGGGCTGGACTATATTTTTTTGGGGGGGAATAATGAACGAATTCCTATGCCCCACAAATAACCCAGAGATGCATTTTAAATAAAAGCACACATTCTACTCATGTAAAAATACGCTGATTCCCAGACCGTCCGCAGGCCAGATTTAGAAGGCAATTGGGCCAGATCCTCCAGGCCTTAATTTGCCTACCCATGCTCCAGGTCTTCTTCTCTGCCGGATGTTTCCCAAGCAGCCTCAAATTACATTGGGGCACCTGTCATCTCTGTTCTGCCCTATGCATTGCCATGCGTGTCCTTGGAGCTGCTCTCTGTCACAGGCTCTCCTTGCTCACTAAAGTATGTTTCTTCTTCAGCATTCAACCATTCCTCCCTCCATTCTTCCTCTGACCCACCTCAGCGTCCCACCACCAATCCTAGGGCTCTGAGTGTTCCTCCTCTGCAGCTTCCCTTGGGGGTTCCCCAGCTGGTACCCCCCCCCACTCCTCATCATCTAGCCAGTCCCTGACAGGGGATGCTAGCCTGGGGCATTGCACAGGAGCCAGCCCTGGCACCAAGTACCTTCTCTTCTTCCCCTCCTAAACCCTCATCCTAGTCCTTTGCCTCTCACACAAAGATAGATGTGGATCGTGCCTTAAGCCCAGCCAAACTGCACTTTTCCTTTTCCTCACAGAAGTTGTTTGCCAATTGCTTTATTCCCTGGTGCAGCTGAATATTACAAATAATCACAAACTTAATCAGTTTCAAGCACAATAGAGTTATGAGTCTGAGTAGTCTGGTTGAGACTCACCCATCTCCTGGATCCAGCAAGTGTTAAATATAAGCTACCCATCACCTGGGTGATGGGCCATGAAGAGAACAAAGAAAAGAAGGCTCTGTGCTAGACAACAAATGAGTGGCACCTTTCTCCACCTATTAGATAGGAGAACAAAGCCTGAGTTTCTGAGCAGAGTTTGCTGTGATGATGCAAAGCAGTGAGCAGAGGTTCAGAGAGCAATGTCTGAGTTCTGTTTGAATCCAAGGCTGTGGCTAAGGGAGGAGCAAGACCCTTTGGGGGTGTTGAAGCTGTGAACCCCTTGTATACATGTGTAAATAAGCCATCTATCATAAAGACACCACAATCTCTACTGTGCCTCATTTCCAAAAGGAAACATGAATCCTGGGTAAGCATGCCTGGAGCCCCTGGAATCTCACACTGCTCAGAGACTGGGGTGCAACAATACAATACAATACAATACAGATAAGCATCTTTTAAAAACAAAGACTCTTACCTGAATGGTGACCAAAGGATACTGAAAGAGATGTATGTGAAGAGAATATTAGTGTTTGAAAAATATTTTAAATGTCAACAACTTTTCAGAGTTGAGCATGAAAACTCCTAATCAACAAGTGTTTAAAGGGATGATTTGAACCCCGAATGAAAAATAGTGCAGTTTTGCTCTGTTAAATATATGAGGCAGCATGGTTTATATCCCAGTGATGGTGGAATATGTTTCAGGCAATGAGCAAGATTAGAAACAAGCCTTCTTTTAGTATTTGCAGCCAAAACACTGCGATATTGTGCATTTTGTGCATATGGATGAACAAAAATATATCAGGTGAGTATGCTTGCTAGCAGACAGCCATAGACAGTTCTCCTGTCCTTCAAGGCAGACTGCCTTTTCCCCAATGAGTGGCCAAACCTGAGGACATCATTAATCAGAACAGAGGTAAAAGAAATTCTAGATTTTCACAAATTAGCCTGTCTGCATTGGTAACATGTACTAAACTATTGTTGTCTGCGTATGTTGTAGATTTGCTGCTTTGATAAATTTGCAAAGAATGCAGATAATTGCTGTTAAAACAACTGCTAAAGCTGCCATACATTTTAAATGGATAACCAAAACATCATCATATCCCTTTGTTCCATGGCTAAACTTTCCATTCCATCTACCACAAGTTTAATTTATTTACTGACTTTCAAACAATGACCAGAGTTGCTTCATTTCCTAGAAAGAGTATTCAGAATCATTCACAGACACAATAGGTATGTTCAGTCCATTTGCAGGAACCTTAGTGGAGAACATTAGCTTTTAACTTCAAAGCAAAAATGCTGCGTGTGTGCTAAGCACTTATTAGTAGGCCAAATTGCATAGACAGCTTCTTTGAAACTGTTTACTTTGGTCTGATTCAATCTCATCTGGAGTTACGTGCATAGACTATTATTTAGGAGCAGACCAAGCAAACACCAAACCAAAAAGTTTTGCCTCAGGCTCTGCGTGTTTATTTGGGTGTTAAGCTATGGTTATGGGTTGTGCATCTGCTTTTTTCAAAGCGGATGAGATGGTTCACAAAGACTTTAATATAAACCAGGAGCTTTTTGGAAATTCTTCCTCCTGACCATATACTTACAGTTTGAGGATCAGGTTGAAAACGCGTATTTAGAGAAACAATTCGGAAGAGCACTGTGGAAGGGGAAAGTAAAAGACTGTGAGAGAAATTCACTTGCTTTCCCGCTAGCTAACAGCAAGTTTTTATCATTCTGGGAAACTGCAATCCAGGAAAAAAAAGAGATCAATTTGGACATGAAAAACCTGCATTCAAATTCCACCTCAGCCATACAGTAAAGGTTGACTCAGATTACCAGTTCTATTCACCATGGTTTGTGAAGTGGGTTGAGTTTGAAATCTGGGTTATTATACCTAATACCTAAGTAGTTTAGCCTTTCTAGGTTTCCTCCTTGCATTCCCAACCCAGTATACAGCCTGTACTAATCTGTTGCAGCAGTGGTGGACTTGGGGCTCTAAAATTTCCGCAGCACCCTGTATGATGCTAAAATTCAGTGCTCCTTCCTCTGCCTCCTGCCCTCCGTTCTATAGGATTGTGGTGGTGCTGAGTTGTGCCACATGGGTCACACTAACCTAACACTGCCTCTGGTAGCAGATTTATGGACATGTCAGCAGTCAGACCACATTTCAGTACATTTCCAAGCACAATTCAAAGTGTTGATGCTGACCTTGAAAGCCCTAAACGGCCTCGGTTCAGTATACATGAAGGAGCATCTCCATCCCCATTGTTCAGCCCGGACACTGAGGTCCAGCTCTGAGGGCCTACTGACGATTCCCTCACTGCAAGAAGTGAGGTTACAGGGAACCAGGCAGAGGGCCTTCTCGGTAGTGGCGTCCACCCTGTGGAACACCCTCCCGTCAGATGTCAAGGAAATAAACAGCTACCTGACTTTTAGAAAACATCTGAAGGCAGCCCTGTTTAGGGAAGTTTTTAATGTTTGATGTTTTATCATATTTTTAATATGTTGGGAGCCGCCCAGAGTGGCTAGGGAGGCCCAGCCAGATGGGCAAGGTATAAGTAAATTTGATGATGATGATGATGATGATGATGATGATGATGATAATGTGGTAGCCATAATTCCCCCCTCCACAAATTTGTCACAGAAAAAGTAGTGTCTTGGCTTTCCAGACCAGGGTCTGCTGCTGAACACGCAGCTCTTGCCACAATTCCCCATATTTACAGCATTTAGACTATTCATGATGAGTCTGGGAAGGGCTGCAAAACACTTTTTACACATTGTTGTGGAAGAGATAATGCCATGACCATCACTTACCTTCCTGTCCAGGTTTGTAGATGGGTTTGTCAGTCTGAACGAAAACAACGATGCCTTTGTTTTGAATGGCCAAAACCCTCCTCTCTGTCACATTGACGGTGGCGCCTTTGAGAGAGATGGTGATGTAAGCCACAGGGTTGGAACTGGCCTCAGGGACCTGTGAGGGAAGAAACCAAGCGATACTACAATAGACCTGTAAATGTGTGGAGGTTTGCCACCATTTCCTCCAAAGGATTCCAGCACCTGTAGTTGCCTTCCCTGCATCTCACAGCTACGTGGCTTACCTGTCTGGTAATGTAGATCAGTACAGGAAGACCGACCTGGAACCATTTTGATTCCTAAACTGAGCAAATGTTTTCTCTGCAAGGTCAAAGTGGGAAACCTCCCCATTGTCTCTTTCCTCACAAATCCTGTCTTAAGGGCACATTTAAGATATGAATAGGGTGTGAGCCTGTGACCTGGCCCAGGAACTAAGTATTTATCATTACAAAAGACTGGCCAGGCTACCCAGGCAATCCAATCAAGTAACCTGCCAGACAGGAGATAAACAACGACAGGAGAAAAACAACATTCAAATTTCTGTTTTAAGACCACCTTTTCTGTGATGTAGGTGTGATGTATCTGAGGGGTGGTCTTGGGTTACACCCCTTCTGTGATGTATGTATGATGTTTCTGGGGGTGGTCTTGATCTACAGGGTGGCAATTTCAAAAGTCTTTGTAAGGCCTTGTGCGCCATTGTTCTGAGTTCCTCCTCTCTCCTGCGGGTGAGGGGAGCACCCTGTTGCAACAGATCAATAAAGATCAAGCTTACTAGCTGCTTTGCTTCTCAATATTCTCTGGTTGGCCTCTGTTATCTTCTCCTACCAATAGGGAACCTATGTAAGGACTCTATATGGGCTCTTGGATACCCCATAAGGGAAAAGGGCATTTTTTGTTTACAACAGTAAACATATGTGATAGAACAGATAACACTGGGCAACAATTTTTTACTTTTTGAATGTTGTCTAGATTTCTACAACTGATTTAGGGTATTTTTGCACTGCTGAATCAGGAAATGGCATCCGTTTCTCTCCATCAGGTCAGGTTTTCTATAAACTGAATGGTGGGCATTGATAAAGGTAAGTACACGATATTAAACTGATAAGAACTTACTTTGGCTAACATCAAGTTTATTACACTGGTCAACAACAAAGACAGCATTTAAAATGCTTCACATGTATTCTCAGCTAATAATTATTTTATTGTTTTAAGACTCCCCTTCTCATCCCAGAACCTCTCTTCTAATTCCTGTGTGCCAGATGCCAAACTTAGCAAAGTGCTTAAAATACAGGCCAAGCCATTCAGGAAATCTCCTAGAGAGATGGGCCATTAAAAGAGGGGGGAAAGAGGTGGTGGACCAATATGTATGTATGTATGTATGTATGTATGTAATTTATTTATTTATTTATTTATTTATTTATTTATTTATTTATTTATTTCTATGCCACCCCTCATCAAAAGATCTCAGGATCGTTCACAGAATAAAAATAAGGCAAGAAGGTAAAGGATATGCCAGCCAGGAGGTGGGTGGAGCTGCGCTCCGGGCTCTGGATAGTTAGCAGAAGATAATGCCAGAGTTTTTAGGAGAGAGTTCCAGAAGGGTAGTTTGCCCAATGTGAGTGGGGGGGGGGGAGGTGCTAGTGTCAAAACACTGCAAACTGAAGAGGGGGTGAGGATCAGAGCACGATGTGGGCTAGCAACCTGACTCCAAAGCGGCTGGAATGGGAGAAACAGAATTTGCTTGAAAGTCATTGCTTGGAACCCCTCCATCGTAAGCTGAGGTTGTATATATGTGTAAATAAACCATATAGCATAATGACACCACAGCTTCTGCTGTGCCTCATTTCCAAAAGGGAATGCGAACCATGAGTAAGCATCTGGAACACCTGGAATCTCGCACCGCTTGGAGATTGGAGGGGGGGGCAGGTAACAATATTTTCTGCTCTTTCGCAGGCCTCCTATCCCTTCTTGCTCCTCTTCCCTATCCTATTTTGTAATTTCAACATCCTTACAGGGTTGGGCTAGATGACCCTTGGTGTCCCTTCCACCTCTACAAGTCTATGGTCCCCTTTCCCCTTTTCCTCTCCGTTTATGTCTCTTTCTAATTGTCACAGAGGCAAGAAATACTTACCACAAAGTACTTGCATTTGAACAAGCTTTTCCTTCGCACAACTTCTTGGAAAACAGTTACATTACGCCTCTCATATTCCAGAAAGACATTCAGGTTTACAGTCTCTTTGAGGTTGAGAAGTTGCACACAGGCTGTATTTGCAGAGCCACTCTGCAGTACTGAAGGCACTACTAGGACATACTGCCTGTGAAATCCCAAAAGAGCAGCTGTATTAGTTCGTACCAGCAAAAGCAACTCACAGCACATGAAAATCCCATCCTTCAGCTATTAGGCAGAAAGCCTGCTTTCAGATGCATGAGGAAAGTTACTATGCCGTTAGGCAATATTGGCCGAGAAGAACTATGCGTTAATTCTAAAATTCAATACTTTATTATTCACAGACAATTAGGAACAAATGTAATCTGGTTCATTCAGGCTACTGCACCTTTAATACCTGTACAGGTAAGGGAATTTTGTCAAGTGAAACTTGTCATGCAGGAGACGTTCTGTACAACTGCTGGCCACTTGACACCAACAAAAGCTTGACAACACGTTGACATAAAATCATGCTGTTCTTATTGTAATCATTGGTATGTTTTAAACAGATTTATACATGTATATCTATAATGTATATAGTTTTAGTTTTATCAGTGCTTCATAGTATTTTTCTACCTTCTTGTTTTTATCTGTAAGCCGTCTTTCCATTGGGGGAAAGGCGGGGCATAAGTCAACAATATATATATATATATATATATATATAAAAACTCCCTACAGTTAGACTTTCACACCTTGCTCTTATTAACCTTGCCCTGTTAATAATATCTGGAGAAAAGTTACGACGACTCTCTATTCATCTTAGCTGGAAATGTCAGCCTGACCAAAGGCCTGGAAGTTCAGAAACATCAGATAACAGCAGCATTGTGCTAAACAAAGAAGCTAATCACAGTCAACTAATAAATATTATAAGAAGATGCTGGTTATAACTTACAACGTAGCCTCCTGTGCAGCACCAAAATGGAATATGAGAATACCCAGAACAAACTGCAGCCCCAACATGGCCCTGAATGATTTGAGAGCTGGAGCTCTGTTGAGGATGACCACAATGTTGCAATCTCCACAATGGAAAAGCGAGTTCTGCCTTTGTCTCCCTGGCTGCGTTTGGAGGCCAGAGCTTTATAAACCCAGCAAGGACATGTGAAAGAGCCACACGTCCACCCCCTGACACTCCTCAGAACCTATAAGAAAACAGGTGAACTTTCTGCCACCCAGCTGTATCTGGTTGTGGCTATCTAAATATCTTCTGTGACCTAGTACAGGGGAATTGGGCCATCCTCCTCAATCTGATGCAAGAAAGTAAAAAATTACAAAGCCAGAAAAAGCCTGTCGTGGTTACTTGATTTTGCATTGGCAATCCCTGGCCTCCAGTTCTGAAGGCATTTATGGAGTCTTAAAAGCTACTTGTCAGAGGTTGATCTGAAGAGTTTATCTCATTTGTTGTTCATTTTTGTTGTATCGGAAATCTTGGCACGGTGACATTACATAACAGGGCCATTTTGTGACGTCCATGCGATGTGAGCAGTGCCGGATTTACGTATAAGCGAAACAAGCTATAGCTTAGGGCCCCACTCTCTTGGGCCCCCCAAAAAAATTTAAAGGAAAAAAAAACTGGATGTACATTTCCAAAATACAGTGGTGCCCCGCAAGACGAATGCCTCGCAAGACGAAAAACCCACAAGACGAAAGGGTTTTCCGTTTCGGAGGCGCTTCGCAAGACGAATTTCCCTATGGGCTTGCTTCGCAAGATGAAAACGTCTTGCGAGTCTCGCCATTTCCCCCCTGCTTCCCCCCTTTTTCAAAGCCGCTAAGCCGTTAATAGCCTTTTAACAGCTTAGCCGCTAAGCCTTTAATAGCCGCTAAGCCGCTAAATCGCTAATAGCGCTAATCCGCTTAGCCGCTAATGGGCTTGCTTCGCGAGACGAAAAAACCGCTAGACGAAGAGAATCGCAGAACGGATTCTTTTCGTCTTGCGAGGCACCACTGTAAAACAAAACCTATATACAGCAACAGTGTTTTGTGTTGTGTAGGCTCCCATGATGTAGGTAATGGGCCCTGCCTGCTAGCCTGCTCCCTAAAATGTCACTGGTTTGCTCATTTCTATATACAGGGTGCCTACATTCTGCATGTGCAAATGGCTTTAGATACCTATTAAGTCCATAAATTACCATATAGCATATATTCAACACAAAAAAACAGCAGCAATTTGTTGTTGACAAAGGGCAGCTGTACATATAAAGGGCCCCATTACCTTCAGTAGCTTAGGGCCTCATCAAACCTAAATCTGGCCCTGGGTGTGAGGCAATGTGGGAAACTTGCTCCTCTCGCTCGATTCTTTGTTTTGGGTTTTGACTGGACACTGGCTGGTGGGGTTGGAAAGAATTGGCTCAACTGGGAAGCCTCAACTGGCTTGAGGTGGCAAGCTTTTCACTTCCCCATGACTATGTGCTGCTTGTATTGCAGTTCCAATTTGATGCAGCTGTGGGCAGGATCTATAGCCTGTGAGGGGACTCCCATAAGGAGGCTTGCGGGTGGAGTTTTAAGGCCTCAGCCCTAATTCAGCGAGCAGAGGACACCTGCCACACGCTTAGGCTGCAGCAGGCTGCGCCATGTTGGGCCCAAGTTTGTGGAGACTTGCTCCTGGTTGCCCAGCAGGTGGGCTGAGAGAGGTATTGTTCAGCAGGCGGACTTCCTGAATAGATGGACCCTTGTTTCACACCACACCAAGCTCTGCTAACAAAAATAAATTGTGGCCACGTTTCATCCCACAAGTTCTCTCTTTGTAGCCATTGTACCTGAATGTCACACCTAGGTGCACATGGGACACAAGCCATAGTTGCATATTTCTGTGCTTTCTGTGGTTTTTGTTGATGACATCATGATACAAATATAGTAAATGATGGTGATATGTTCGGTTTCCCCATCCTGGGATTAAATGGTAGTATAGGCGAAGGTAGCTGAGGAACATGATTTGTATCTTTTTGCGAAACATGTACCTTCACAAACAGACACAAGATACGTATATGTGTTATATGCAGTCAAATAATAAAGGTATCATAGAACCACATTTCAGTGAAATACTGTGTGTATGATGTTGCCTCATTTGAACTTGAATTTTTCAGCACTCTTCAGTTCTTTGGAGATTGGTACAGAACTTCCGTGCTATGCAGCTCTGAAGTAGAACGGTGTATCTAAGTTTTGCTCAGCGTAAACCCATTGAAATGAATGAACATGACTAACTTAGGTCCATTGATTTCAATGGTTCTACATGCTGCATACTCCCTCTTGTCCTGCTGGCGAAAACCGCTATTTAAGTGCTCAATCAGAGCAAACAGCAAGTTGAGTTTTCTGCAGATTGCCATTGGTTCCAAATTAGAGCTAAAAAGTGGGTTTCTCCTGGGAAATGTGCAGAGCAGGGGGGGAAACTGCTTGGACCCTATCTTTTTAGGCACAGGACTAGCAGAAATGTGGATGAGCCCATAATCTCTTGTTTATCTGCAGGGACAGTTTCCCAGGAAAAGAATTGTTCAACTGGTTCAGCTAAGCAAATATAAACCCACTTTATTGTCAGTTAAATGGGAGGGGATTTCACCCATCCTACCCTGACAAATATCTTAGCAAATATCCTTTTCCACCCTCTCTGAGTTGCTCTGGTTAGTTTTCTTCTTAGCAATATCCACCATTTAAGAATGAGAAAGTTATACCACCTTGTTTACTCAACAAGAAGCAATTGACGTGTACTTTTAATGATGTTATTGGCCTGAATTTGGTAATTCAATATTTTTGCATTCCAGTAGGGATTAGCACCAAATTGTGTTACACCCAGAGGGATCGTTTCTGAATCAACCACGACAAGAAATTAAGAAAATTGGCTGCGCTATGAGCCAAATTTCCTCCACTTGTTGTTGGCAAGATGTGCTAGTCAGTGGGAGCCGAGACTTGGGAAGCAGATTTAGAAAGGCAGTCCCCCTGCCACATTTCTGAGCTGAAAAGGTGAGCTTTCATAATCAGGAACCTGTGGCATTTCAATTGAAATGAGGGAGGGGAGAGAACAAGTTCCTGCAACTCTTCTGCTACTTGACTATTTCAGAAGCAGGTGTTCTCACATTCAGGGCTGGTCCCCCCATGAGGTGAGGCGAGGGGACCCCTTGGGGTGGCAGGATCCGCAGGGTGGGAACACCCAGCCTCAAAGGAATGCATTGCCTGATGCCACCACTGCTGCCACTACAGTCAGCGACGGAGCAAGCCAATCGGGCGTCTGGGGCGGTGTGCGTGCCCTGTGCCTGGGGGCGGGGCCAGCTGCATGTGGGGGCGGGGCCAGCTGGGGCAGGATGCTCCGTGGGGAGAGACGTGTGGTTTGGGCATGCTGCAGACCCCGGGGTGAGTGCCCCCCAGCATTTTGTCACTCCCCCTCAGTGGTGGCACCAAGGGCTGTCAGGAGTTCAGCCTACACTCGAGTAGGACCCTGGCAGAGACACATGCCCGACTGGCATGTTCTCTCCCTCCTGGTCGATCGTTCGGGAGCTTCAAAAGCTTTCTTCAGCACGAACATCACAGCAACCGATGCCAACAGACCGATGCCAGCACACTTAGGGATCCGCAGAGTTTGCGCACCATGCATGACAGACCTCAGCAACTCAGCATTTTGGCCAATCTACTTTATTTACATATACAGTGGTACCTCAGGTTACATACGCTTCAGGTTACAGACTCCACTAACCTAGAAATAGTGCTTCAGGTTAAGAACTTTGCTTCAGGATGAGAACAGAAATCCTGCTCCTGCAGCGCAGTGGCCGCAGGAGGCCCCATTAGCTAAAGTGGTGCTTCAGGTTAAGAACAGTTTCAGGTTAAGAACGGACCTCCAGAACAAATTAAGTACTTAACCCGAGGTACCACTGTAAACACACAAGGAACACGGCAACACAGCTCCCTCTCTCTCTAGCATCAGACAGCAAAGAGAAAAAGAACAAAGGACAATAGTCCCACTTCACAGAACACAGTAACACAAACACCCTGTCTTCGTCACTTCCCACTCTGTGGAGTCACAACATATCATGTCATGTGAAACACAACAATCCCATGACTGCAATCACAGAGCAGGAATTCTCACAGGGGCAACCCGCCCCCACCTTGCTCCACTACTGACCACAGTAACCGCAACAGCTATGGTACACTCAATGGAGGCCAGATCTTCCACCTCCTTGGCAGTCCCAGTGCCATCTCTACAGTGGCATCTCAGAGAATAGGAGGTGCTGCTGGTCTCCTCCTGCCCCTAGGAAGGAAATGGCAGGGGCTGCCTGGTGTGATGCAGAGCATGCGCCTTCCCCACCCACCTCCATGACAAATGTGCTATACTGTGTTAGACCTGCAGTATAGAACCTCTGTGGCTCCAGTTTCCCTGGCCTGCTGCCATCGCTAAAACTCTCTCCAGCCATTCAGCTGAATGTGTAATGGGGGCAAGTGGGCCTTCTTGCGAGGAACCTCGGCCCTTGATGGTACCGCATGTGCCAGGCCCACAACTCCCACAAATTCCCACAGGCACTTTTGTATGTTAGGAGGTCAACACCTGAGGGTATGAACATTGCGTGGCGAGTTCCCACCTCCCACCAGAAAAAATAAAGACACCAGACACCATAGTTAAGGTTAATGGGCGTAATTGGCCACAACTTTATTGATTGCAGGAAATGAGCGGTATTGGCCTAGGCATTGGTCCTAATCAACTATCCGGCTTCAGGCTATATGCCTGAGAGGCCAGGAAGGGTTAACACCAGCAGGGGGAGCCCTGCTGATGCACATCAACTAGGCACTCCCCTGGGTTCACCGCTCAGGGGTGTGCCTTGGGCCCTGGCCTCCCTAGACTTCGGACGGGGCCACGCCCCCAGAGTCCTTTACCAGACTACCCTTCACAACCGGGGGAGGTGATGGCGCTCCTCCCCCCATCCATCTACATAACAATACCCTGACCAATGCCTCACCGCCAAACCATGGAAGTTGTGACGATTTGCTACAAGGTAGGCGAAAAGACCGGGGACGCGGGTGGTGCTGTGGGTAAAAGCCTCAGCGCCTAGGGCTTGCCGATCGAAAGGTTGGCGGTTCGAATCCCCGCGGCGGGGTGCACTCCCGTTGCTCAGTCCCAGCGCCTGCCAACCTAGCAGTTCGAAAGCACCTCCGGGTGCAAGTAGATAAATAGGGACCGCTTACTGGCGGGAAGGTAAACGGTGTTTCCGTGTGCTGCGCTGGCTCGCCAGATGCGGCTTTGTCACGCTGGCCACATGACCCAGAAGTGTCTCCGGACAGCGCTGGCCCCTGGCCTCTTAAGTGAGATGGGCGCACAACCCTAGAGTCTGTCAAGACTGGCCCGTACGGGCAGGGGTACCTTTACCTTTTACCTAGGCGAAAAGACCAAATGGCCGGTGCCAATTTGC